CTAGGGGTGGCAGAGTGATACTGTGGTGAACTACTAGCTAAGGATGACAGAGTGATACTGTGGGGAACTACAAGCTGGGCGTGACAGAGTGATACTGTCGTGAACTACTAGATAAGGGTGGCAGAGTGATTCTGTAGTGCACTACTAGCTAGGGGTTGCAGAGTGATACTGTGCTGAACTACTAGCTAAGGGTGGCAGAGTGATACTGTGGTGAACTACAACCTAGGGGTGGCAGAGTGATACTGTTGTGAACTACAAGCTAAGCGTGGCAGAGTGATAGATAGATTAACTACAAACTAAGGATGGTATTGTGATACTGTTGTGAACAACTAGCTAAGGGTGGCAGAGTGATACTGTGGTGAACTACAAGCTTGGGGCGACAGAGTGATACTGTGGTGAACTACTAGCTAAGGGTGACAGAGTGATATTATGGTGAACTACTAGCTAAGAGTGGCAGAGTGATACTATGGTGAACGACAAGCTAGGGGTGATAGAGTGACACTGTGGTGAACAACTAGCTAAGGGTGGCAGAGTGATACTATAGTGAACTACCAGCTAAGGATGGCAGTGTGATACTGTGGAAAACAAGTAACTAAGGGTGGCAGAGTGATACTGTGTTGAACTACAAGCATAGCGTGCCACATTGATACTGTGGTGAACTACTAGCTAAGGGTGACAGACTGATACTGTGCTGAATTACTAGCTAAGGGTGGCAAAGTGATACTGTGGTGAACTACAAGCTAGGGGTGGAAAAGTGATATTGTGGTGAACTTCTGGGTAGGGGTAACAGAGTGATACTGTGGTGAACTAAGAGCGAAGGGTGGCAGATTGATTATGTGGTGAACTACTAGCAAAGGTTGGGCAGAGTGATACTGTGGTGAACTACAAGCTAGGGGTTACAAAGTGATACTGTGGTGAACTTCTTGCTAGGGGTGACAGAGTGATACTGTGGTGAACTACTAGCTAAGTGTGGCAGTGTGATACTGTGGTGAACTACTAGCTATTGATGGCAGAGTGATTCTGTTGTGAACTACTATCTTAGGATAGCAGTTTCTTACTATGGTGAACTACCAGCTGTGGGTGACAGATTGATACTGTCGTGAACTACAAGCTAAGGTTGGCAAAGTGATACTGTTATGAACTACTACCTAAGGATGGCAGAGTGATACTGTTGTGAACTACAAGATACGGGTGACAGAGTGATACTGTGGTGAACTAGTAGCTAAGGGTGGCAGAATGATATTATGGTGAAATACTACCTAAGGGTGGCAGAGTGATACTTTGGTGAACTACAAGTTAGGGGTGGCAGAGTGATACTGTGGTGAACTACTAGCTAAGGGTGACAGAATGATACTGTGCTGAATTACTAGCTAAGGTTGGCAGAGTGATACTGTCGTGAACTTCTATCTAAGGGCGGTAGAATGATACTGTGGTGAACTACAAGCTAGGGGTAACAAAGTGATACTGTGGTGAACTTCTAGCTAGGGGTGACAGAGTGATACTGTTATCAACTAGTAGCTAAGTGTGGCAGTGTGGTACTGTAGAGAACTACTAGCAATGGATAGCAGAGTGATACTGTGGTGAACTAGTAGCTAAGGGTGGCAGAATGATGTTATGGTGAAATACTAGCTAAGGGTGGCAGAGTGATACTGTTCTGAACTACAGTCTACGGGTGACAGAGTGATACTGTGGTGAACTAGTAGGTAAGGATGGCAGAATGATATTATGGTGAAATACTAGCTAAGGGTGGCAGAGTGATACTTTGGTGATCTACATGTTAGGGGTGGCAGAGTGATACTGTGGTGAACTACTAGCTAAGGGTGGCAGAGTGATACTGTGGTGAACTACTAGCTTAGGGTGGCATAGTGATAGTGTGGTGAACTACTAGCTAAGGGTGGCAGAGTGATACTTTGGTGAAGTACAATCTAACGTTTGCAGAGTGATACTTTGGTGAACTACTGGCTAATGGTGGCAGAATGATACTGTGGTGAATTACTAGCTAAGGTTGGCAGAATGATATTGTGGTGAACTACTAGCTGGGGGTGACAGAGTGATACTGTGGTGAACAACTAGCTAAGGTTGGCAGAGTGATACTGTGATGAACAACTATCTAAGGGTAGCATAATGATACTGTGGTGAACTAGTAGCTAAGGTTCGCAGAGTGATACTGTAGTGAACAACTAGCTAAGGGTGGTAGAGTGATACTGTTGTGAACTACAAGCGAAGGGTGGCAGAGTGATACTGTGGTGAGCTACCAGCTAAGGGTGGCAGAGTGATACTGTTGTGAACTACAAGCGAAGGGTGGCAGAGTGATACAGTGGTGAACAACTAGCTAAGGGTGGCAGAGTGATACTGTGGTGAGCTACCAGCTAAGGGTGGCAGAGTGATACTGTGGTGAACAACTAGCTAAGGGTGGCAGAGTGATACTGTGGTCAACAACTAGCTAAGGGTGGCAGAGTTATACTATGGTGAACAACTAGCTTAGAGTGGCAGATTGAAACTGTGGTGAACTACCAGCTGGGGATTACAGAGAGATACTGTCGTGAACTGCAAGCTAATGTTGGCATAGTGATACTGTTGTGAACTACTAGCTAAGGGTGGCAGAATGATACTTTGGTGAACTACTACTAGCTAAGGGTGGCAGAGTGATACTGTGGTCAGCTGCAAGCTAAGGGTGGCAGAGTGATATTGTGGTGAACAACTAGGTAAGGTTGGAAGAGTGATACTGTGGTGAACTACCAACTGTGGATGACAGATTGATACCGTCGTGAACTACAAGCTAAGGTTGACAAAGTGATACTGTTATGAACTACTACCTAAGGGTGGCAGAATGATACTGTGATGAACTACTAGCTAAGGGTGGCAGAGTGATACTGTCGTGAACTTCTAGCTAAGGGCGGCAGAATGATACTGTGGTGAACTACTAGCTGGGGGCGACAGAGTGATACTGTGGTGAACAACTAGCTAAGGTTGGCAGAGTGATACTGTGGTCAACAACTAGCTAAGCGTGACAGAGTGATACTGTGGTGAGCTACAAGCTAAGGGTGGCAGAGTGATACTGTGGTGAACAAGTACCTAAGGGTGGCAGAGTGATACTGTGGTGAACAACTAGCTAAGGGTGACAGAGTGATACTGTGGTGAACTACTAGCTAAGGGTGGCACAGTTATACTGTGGTGAACTACCAGGTGGGGATGACAGAGATAAACTGTCGTGAACTGCAGGCTAATGTTGGCAAAGTGATACGGTTGTGAACTACTAGCTAAGGGTGGCAGAATGATAATGTAGTGAACTACTAGCTAGGGGTGACAGAGTGATACCGTGGTGAACTACTACTAGCTAAGGGTGGCAGAGTGAAACTGTGGTCAGCTACAAGGTAAGGGCGGCAGAGTGATACTGTGGTGAACAACAAGCTAAGGGTGGCAGAGTGATACTTTGGTGAACTACCAACTGGGGATGACAGATTGATACTCTCGTGAACTACAAGTTAAGGTTGGCAAAGTGATACTGTTATGAACTACTACCTAAGGGTGGAAGAGTGATACTGTGGTGAACTACAAGCTTAGGTTGGCAGAGTGATACTGTGATGAACTACTAGCTAATGGTGGCAGAATGATACTGTGGTGAACTACTAGCTAAGGTTGGCAAAGTGATACTGTGGTGAACTACTAGCTGGGGGTAACAGAGTGATACTGTGGTGATCTACTAGCTAAGGTTGGCAAAGTGATACTGTTGTGAACTACAAGCTTAGGGTGACAGAGTGATATTGTTCTGAACTACAAGCTAATCTTGGCAGAGTGATACTGTGGTGAACTACTAGCTAAAGGTGGCAGAGTGATACTGTGGTGAACTACTAGCTAAGGGTGGCAGAGTGATACCTTGGTGAACTACTAGCTAAGGGTGGAAGAGTGATACTTTGGTGAACTACAATCTAACGTTTGCAGAGTGATACTTTGATGAACTACTGGCTAATAGTGGCAGAATGATACTGTGGTGAATTACTAGCTAAGGTTGGCAGAATGATACTGTGGTGAACTACTAGCTGGGGGTGACAGAGTGATACTTTGGTGAACTACAAGCTATGGGTGGCAGAGTGATACTGTGGTGAACTACTAGCTAATGGTGGCAGAGTGATACTGTGGTGAACTACAAGCTGGGGGTTACAGAGTGATAATGTGGTTAACTACAAGCTTAGGTTGGCAGAGTGATACTGTCGTTAACTACTAGCTAATGTTGACAGAATGATACTGTGGTGAACTACTAGCTGGGGTAACAGAGTGATACTGTGGTGATCTACTAGCTAAGGATGGCAGAGTGATTCTGTTGTGAACTACAAGGTAGGGGTGACAGAGTGATACGGTGGTGAACTACTAGCTAAAGGTGGCAGAGTGATACTGTGGTGAGCTACTAGCTTAGGGTGGCAGAGTGATACTTTTGTGAACTACTATCTGCCGGTGACAGAATGATACTAAGGTGAACTACAAGCTAAGGGTGGCAGAGTGATACTGTCGTTAACTACTAGCTAATGTTGACAGAATGATACTGTGATGAACTACTAGCTGGGGTAACAGAGTGATACTGTGGTGAACTACTAGCTAAGGTTGGCAAAGTGATACTGTGGTGAACTACTAGCTGGGGGTGACAGAGTGATACTGTGGTGATCTACTAGCTAGGGTTGCATTCTGTTTTTAATTATCATACATGGATGAATCTATTCCAAAGAATATCTTTGTCGCTGCATCAACGATTACACTGGACGAAAGTGCAAATCAGGTGAGGAGGATTCAGCCACATTGTTCATGTGGTGGTACAACCGTATTCATCTTGAAAGGTGAATACTACGGAAGGAAATTAATTACAAATTAACAAATCACAGGTACCCCTATCAACAAATGAAGGAAAAGGCAAACCAAAGGCGCAATGTTATGGTGTTTAGATTGATGGCAACATGTGTAGGATAGCTATTAAAATATTGTCCACTATAATGATGTGTTTATTTCAGCCCCTTTCTGCACCGTTGGGGGAAACGATTGTGGGGCAAACGGGAATTGCACACGTAAAGATTCTGGTCGTGGGAATTCATGTGTCTGCAAAAACGATTATACTGGAGAAAGATGCAACGATGGTAAGACTTCGTATTATACTACATCGGCACTACTGAGGGAACAGTAATACTGTTTCTATTTATGTTCAACATACAACCAGGGGGCATGGGTGGCCCAGTCGTCTAAGGCCCCGCGATTCGCTGTGCAGAGTGGCGTTCCTTGGGCACGCCAGAAACCTATGATTGTGGGTTCGAATTCGAATCCCGGTTCGCCCCGATTACGTTTCTAGGTTTGTCTGCACCATACCCGTGCTCGTAGGTGATAAACTTCTGAGGTCTGCATCACTTGGGGCTTTCCTCCCACATTTAACTGACACGCTGTGGTATAACTGTAATACTGTGAAAAGCGATGTCAAACCCAACTCACTCACTCAACATACAACCACTGGCTTTATCATGTAATTACGTTTTCCATTTCAGGATAACAAGGACATTATCATACAACTAGTGTGTGGAAACATCATGGGGTCATTTTACCTTTCATGTACATTCGATGCCACTTGCACCAACAATAAGGAAGTGTTACAATACTTCTCATGTAGCCCTACGATGTCCCTTTACTGCAGTTAAAAGATTGTATTTTCAGTATAGAAACTATGGGCATGGACAGTGTTATCTCGACTTGACTGATAAAAATGCAACAAATCTAACTGATGTTATAAACACCTTTAGGAATGTGTATTAGTGTCGAGATTGATGGTGACATTTGTTGTATTGTGCTCGTATTCTGATCAATGACAATACCCAATGGTTTGTGCTTGTATTCTGGGGCTGGGGGAAGTGAGTGTGGTATATGCTCTGCACTTCATATATGATCAGTGATATAGTTTGTGTTCAGCATTTATTCCTTTTGTATATTTCACAATGTGCGAAGCCCATTTCTGGTGCTCCCCGCCGTGAAATTGCTTGAAAATTGCTAAAAGCGGCGTAAAACCATAATCACTTACTCACGCTACTCTGTAACTTACAATACAGATTACCACAATGCTTCTCGTGTACGCCCGTTATCACATTTGATTGATCAGTACAGCTAATTGTTCGTATTATCAGGAACAAACCTGTGGTTACGGACTGTTTTCTGGATCTGATTGATTAGAACAACAGATCTATCTAATGTTACAAACAGATCATCGAATGTGGAATAGTACAATAATTAGACTGCAACGTGACCAGACTAGATTGATGGAGACATTTGGGCGTCTATTAAACTGTTGTGCATTGTAATTCGATGTGTTTGTTGCAGCCCCTTTCTGCACTGTTGGGGGAAGTGGCTGTGGTGCCAACGGACAATGCATTGGAGGTCGTTCCTGTAACTGCAGAAACGGTTTTACAGGCGTGAGATGCACCACTGGTAAGACTACATATTTGTATAAAAACAAAATTACAAGGGGGGAGGGGGGGGGGGGAGCTCTTTGAACAATATGTCAGTCATTTTAAACATCTGAACAGTGTCCTATGCCCTGCCCTGTTATATTGTCTGAAATTCGTTGTGTTTGTTGCAGCCCCTTTCTGCACTGTTGGGGGAAGCGGCTGTGGCGCCAACGGAAACTGCACAGAAACTTATTCTTGTGTCTGCAGAAACGGCTTTACTGGCGACCGGTGCAACATTGGTAAGACGACATGGTTTAAACGTTGCTTTCAACAATATGTCAGTCATTGTACACCTAAACAGTGTCCTATGCCCTGCACTTCGTATCTGATCAATGACAATGTAGTATAGCTGTGCTTGTATTCTGATCAATGACAATATCCTATGGTTTGTGATCATCATTTATTCCTTTTGTATATTTCAGCTCCGATCTGCACGGCTGGAGGAAGTGAGTGTGGTGTCAATGGAGTCTGTGACACATCGACATATTCCTGTTCCTGCAAGAACGGATACACTGGTCAAAAGTGCACCACACGTGAGGAGGCAACTAAGGGCTCAACATTAAGTTTGGCATGTCTCACTGAACTGTTGATTGATCTACTCTGTAACGGGGCGGTGGGTAGCCTAGTGGTTAAAGAGTTCGCTCGTCAGGCTAAAGACCCGGGTTCGATTCCCTACATTGGCACAATGTGCGAAGCCCATTTCTGGTGCTCCCCGCCGTGAAATTGCTTGAAAATTGCTAAAAGCGGCGTAAAACCATACTCACTTTCTCACGCTACTCTGTAACTGACAATACAGATTACCACAATGCTTCTCGTGTACGCCCGTTATCACATTTGATTGATCAGTACAGCTAATTGTTCGTATTATCAGGAACAAACCTGTGGTTACGGACTGTTTTCTGGATCTGATTGATTAGAACAACAGATCTATCTAATGTTACAAACAGATCATCGAATGTGGAATAGTACAATAATTAGACTGCAACGTGACCAGACTAGATTGATGGAGACATTTGGGCGTCTATTAAACTGTTGTGCATTGTAATTCGATGTGTTTGTTGCAGCCCCTTTCTGCACTGTTGGGGGAAGTGGCTGTGGTGCCAACGGACAATGCATTGGAGGTCGTTCCTGTAACTGCAGAAACGGTTTTACAGGCGTGAGATGCACCACTGGTAAGACTACATATTTGTATAAAAACAAAATTACAAGTGGGGGGAGCTCTTTGAACAATATGTCAGTCATTTTAAACATCTGAACAGTGTCCTATGCCCTGCCCTGTTATATTGTCTGAAATTCGTTGTGTTTGTTGCAGCCCCTTTCTGCACTGTTGGGGGAAGTGGCTGTGGTGCCAACGGACAATGCATTGGAGGTCGTTCCTGTAACTGCAGAAACGGTTTTACAGGCGTGAGATGCACCACTGGTAAGACTACATATTTGTATAAAAACAAAATTACAAGGGGGGGGGGGGGGGGAGCTCTTTGAACAATATGTCAGTCATTTTAAACATCTGAACAGTGTCCTATGCCCTGCCCTGTTATATTGTCTGAAATTCGTTGTGTTTGTTGCAGCCCCTTTCTGCACTGTTGGGGGAAGCGGCTGTGGCGCCAACGGAAACTGCACAGAAACTTATTCTTGTGTCTGCAGGAACGGCTTTACTGGCGACCGGTGCAACATTGGTAAGACGACATGGTTTAAACGTTGCTTTCAACAATATGTCAGTCATTGTACACCTAAACAGTGTCCTATGCCCTGCACTTCATATCTGATCAATGACAATGTAGTATAGCTGTGCTTGTATTCTGATCAATGACAATATCCTATGGTTTGTGATCATCATTTATTCCTTTTGTATATTTCAGCTCCGATCTGCACGGCTGGAGGAAGTGAGTGTGGTGTCAATGGAGTCTGTGACACATGGACATATTCCTGTTCCTGCAAGAACGGATACACTGGTCCAAAGTGCACAACACGTGAGGAGGCAACTAAGGACTCAACATTAAGTTTGGCATGTCTCACTGAACTGTTGATTGATCTACTCTGTAACGGGGCGGTGGGTAGCCTAGTGGTTAAAGAGTTCGCTCGTCAGGCTAAAGACCCGGGTTCGATTCCCTACATTGGCACAATGTGCGAAGCCCATTTCTGGTGCTCCCCGCCGTGAAATTGCTTGAAAATTGCTAAAAGCGGCGTAAAACCATACTCACTTTCTCACGCTACTCTGTAACTGACAATACAGATTACCACAATGCTTCTCGTGTACGCCCGTTATCACATTTGATTGATCAGTACAGCTAATTGTTCGTATTATTAGGAACAAACCTGTGGTTACGGACTGTTTTCTGGATCTGATTGATTAGAACATCAGATCTATCTAATGTTACAAACAGATCATCGAATGTGGAATAGTACAATAATTAGACTGCAACGTGACCAGACTAGATTGATGGAGACATTTGGGCGTCTATTAAACTGTTGTGCATTGTAATTCGATGTGTTTGTTGCAGCCCCTTTCTGCACTGTTGGGGGAAGTGGCTGTGGTGCCAACGGACAATGCATTGGAGGTCGTTCCTGTAACTGCAGAAACGGTTTTACAGGCGTGAGATGCACCACTGGTAAGACTACATATTTGTATAAAAACAAAATTACAAGGGGGGGGGGGGGGGGGGGGGGGGGGGGGGGAGCTCTTTGAACAATATGTCAGTCATTTTAAACATCTGAACAGTGTCCTATGCCCTGCCCTGTTATATTGTCTGAAATTCGTTGTGTTTGTTGCAGCCCCTTTCTGCACTGTTGGGGGAAGTGGCTGTGGTGCCAACGGACAATGCATTGGAGGTCGTTCCTGTAACTGCAGAAACGGTTTTACAGGCGTGAGATGCACCACTGGTAAGACTACATATTTGTATAAAAACAAAATTACAAGGGGGGGGGGGGGAGCTCTTTGAACAATATGTCAGTCATTTTAAACATCTGAACAGTGTCCTATGCCCTGCCCTGTTATATTGTCTGAAATTCGTTGTGTTTGTTGCAGCCCCTTTCTGCACTGTTGGGGGAAGCGGCTGTGGCGCCAACGGAAACTGCACAGAAACTTATTCTTGTGTCTGCAGGAACGGCTTTACTGGCGACCGGTGCAACATTGGTAAGACGACATGGTTTAAACGTTGCTTTCAACAATATGTCAGTCATTGTACACCTAAACAGTGTCCTATGCCCTGCACTTCATATCTGATCAATCACAATGTAGTATAGTTGTGCTTGTATTCTGATCAATGACAATATCCTTTGGTTTGTGATCATCATTTATTCCTTTTGTATATTTCAGCTCCGATCTGCACGGCTGGAGGAAGTGAGTGTGGTGTCAATGGAGACTGTGACACATCGACATATGACTGTGACTGCAAGAACGGATACACTGGTCAAAAGTGCACCACACGTGAGGAGGCAACTAAGGGCTCAACATTAAGTTTGGCATGTCTCACTGAACTGTTGATTGATCTACTCTGTAACGGGGCGGTGGGTAGCCTAGTGGTTAAAGAGTTCGCTCGTCAGGCTAAAGACCCGGGTTCGATTCCCTACATTGGCACAATGTGCGAAGCCCATTTCTGGTGCTCCCCGCCGTGAAATTGCTTGAAAATTGCTAAAAGCGGCGTAAAACCATACTCACTTTCTCACGCTACTCTGTAACTGACAATACAGATTACCACAATGCTTCTCGTGTACGCCCGTTATCACATTTCATTGATCAGTGCAGCTAATTGTTCGTATTCAGAACAGACCTGTGGTTACAGACTGTTATAAGGATCTGATTGATCAGAACAACAGATCTATCTAATGTTACAAACAGATCATCGAATGTGGAATAGTACAATAATTAGACTGCAACGTGACCAGACTAGATTGATGGTGACATTTGGGCGTCTATTAAACTGTTGTGCATTGTAATTCGATGTGTTTATTGCAGCCCCTTTCTGCACTATTAGGGGAAGCGGCTGTGGCACCAACGGAAACTGCACAGAAAGTTATTCTTGTAACTGCAGAAACGGTTTTACAGGCGTGAGATGCACCACTGGTAAGACTACATATTTGTATAAAAACAAAATTACAAGTGGGGGGAGCTCTTTGAACAATATGTCAGTCATTTTAAACATCTGAACAGTGTCCTATGCCCTGCCCTGTTATATTGTCTGAAATTTGTTGTGTTTGTTACAGCCCCTTTCTGCACTGTTGGGGGAAGCGGCTGTGGCGCCAACGGAAACTGCACAGAAACTTATTCTTGTGTCTGCAGGAACGGCTTTACTGGCGACCGGTGCAACATTGGTAAGACGACCACGTACTATGCAACATCAACATTACTGAGGGAATAATATTTAAACGCCGTCTTGAACAGTATTTCAGTCATTTCATGATGTTTCAAACTAACATACATGTAGTCAAAAACGGCTAACGGCTGTGATCATTCGTGACCAACTCGTGTTATTCCGGGACAAGCCGAATAGCGACCCGTGCCCCTCTCCTGGCCATTTTTGCGACTGGGTTCCGTCTTAGTGCAAACGGGCATGCCTAAAACAATTGTCAACTCGTTGCGTAATGGTTCACATATATTTCCCCATATATTATATAAATTTCAGATGAAATTTAAAGCACATAGGCACGTGCGGAATTATACAGTATGATTGAACACATTTATCTGTGTCATGGGTATAATTTTAGATGCAAGACATATGTAAAATCAAACATTATTTCTGAGTGATTATGTAACAAAGAACTCGAAATCATAGGCGCATTCTGATTGGTTTGTCGTATTTTCGCACATAAAAATTCATCGGTAGGGGGACGAGTCTTCTTGAAGGTCACGGAAAGGGGCGAGTGGTGACGAATGCAGGTTACGGAAAGGGGCGAGTGGTGACGAATGCTGCTGTGATAACAACTAATACGCATCTGGCAGAAATGATGTACCACATTAGCCCCGAGACCCCACTTGATTGATATGTGAATTAAATTTGAAAGTTTGTATTTTCAGAAAAACAAATGGGTAGAGACACTGTAACACAAACATAACTGATGTCATTTAGGAAATAAAGACACCGCGTTTTCAATGTAGAGCTAGGTTGCCAGTAGATTTAACCGCCCTTAATTGAATTTGGAACTGAACTCGCAACTTACCTATAGCTAGCTAACACAGTGTGTTTATCTCCATTCTAACATGACTAAATAAAACGGGTGTCAGCAAATATATTGTGTGAATCAGCATTCGTTGCGTCCAGTGTTTGGAGCGCTCAAGCAGCTTGTTTACACCGTAATGTTTCACTCGAACTTATGACAGGCACTAAAAGCATGTAGCAGAGCAACTTCGTAAGCTCACATGAGGTGGGCACCACAAGAGTAAAGTTAGCAATCCCTGGAAAGGTTAAGTTCTACACCGTTTGTCAATAACAAGGCGTCATATGGCTCATTGTGACATAGAAAATCGACAACAAAATCTCTGTTGTCCTCAAAATTTGAAATACCTTCTCTTTGTAGATTTCTATCGTGGTTTCTGTACGATATGTATTGCCACGCCTCCTTTACATATTGAAGTATTGTAGACTATTATTATTATCTAACTATGCCTACCGATAATGACTGTAAATGAAGTACTATTCTAAAACTATTAGCTTCTACTATGATTCGGTCGTCAAATCGGCTGTTTAAATCAGACGGTGTTTATTGTGTTTTAATCCCTCTGATTGACCAATCAGAATCGAATATTTCCAAAATTCATGGAAGCAATACATATATTACGATATGTTATATTGTCTGATATTCGTTGTGATTGTTGCACGAGTGAGGATGACTTATACACTGGTTTTCGCATACAGAGCCAAAATCCAAACTGAACAATAAAGATATACATTTTGATACCCAATTAATTTTACCATTACTTTCTGCCTGAAGCATCTTATAATAACATTTCTTTGGAAAGCAACAATCTGACATACTCAATAACCTTATCCAATGACCAATAACTCTTTTGTATGCATAAAGATATAATGGATACCGCCCACATTCACCTCGAACCATGTTGTTGGGTGTTGACGATTTGACACCTAGAAAGCGCTTGCATGCCAATGTATGTATGTAGACCCCAGACTTTGTAACCATAGAGCAAAATTGGGACTATTTTCATATTAAATATTTAAAAATATAAGTAAGGTGGAAGAGGCTATAATTTTATCAATGACTTTAAAATTCGAAACATTGCTTTTCCCCCCTGTAACCAGCATTAGAGAAATGACTTGACCAGGTCAGGCTTCTCGTAAAAGTAATATTTGTATTATATTTGTATATAATATTTATAAGAAGAAACACACTCCAACTTTTGACCTTTATAGTACCAAATCTCTTTTCCTGACAACACTCCACCTTTCTTAAAAACAATCATCTTATTTTTTTCCAAATTGACGTCTAAATCATAATAATTACAACACTTTTCTACAACATCAATACGCTTCTGAAGTCCACCAGTGGTATCTGAGATAAAAATAATATCGTCTGCAAACAATAACAGGAATATATTATCAAGCAGGGGCACGGGTGGCCCTTTCGTCTCATGCGCTGCGATTCGCTGTGCGTCGCTTGGGCACGCCAGAAACCTATGATTGTGGCATGGTTCGAATCCCGGTTCGCAACGAGAATGTTTCTAGGTTTGTCAGCACCATACCCGTGCTCTTAGGTTTCACCGAAGTGGTGAACGTCCGAGACCTGCATCACTTGAGGCTTTCCTCCCACATTAAGCTGACACGCCGCGATATAACTGGAATACCGTTAAAAGCGGCGTTAAACCCAACTCACTATTATCAAGCAACTTGATAAACAGCACTGTAAGATACGACACAAAAATATCATTCGCATATTTAACAAAATTCTGAAATGAGGTGGTCATTTCCTTTGGATTTATCATATTTCAAAGAGTTAATAGCACATAGCACCTCCTATGGAAATGGGGGAGTCCAGAATATAGCAAGGCATATCATCATGAATATCATTAATAGTCGCATCGGTGATAACCATATCTTCATCTGTTGGATTGTCAAACACATTTTTAAAATGTTCGACTCATTGTACCCAGGTCAGGTACACGAGTTAACACACTCTGAGATAATCGTCGTATGGTAAACCAGAAACATTTACTATTTGGGAGACTAGATAAAACCTTATTACACATTTATTCTTTATAACTTTTCTTTTCATCACGTAATAAACTAGTATAAGTATATCTTTGTTTTACATAACTAAATAAGGTGCTATCATTCTTAAAATGTCTTTACATTCTGACTAACGGGACCGGTGGTCAGGCTCGATGACTTGGTTAATGCATGTCATCGATCCCCATTGCGTGGATCGATGCTCATTCTATCAATCACTGGATTGTCTGGTCCAGACTCGATTATTTACAGACCGCCGTCATATAGCTGGAATATTACTAAGTGCGGCGTTAAACAACAAACCAACCAACCAACCAACTGCATATTCTGAGACACCTCTCTGTTCCATCTGTAGTAATGACACTCAGTGTAAAACCAGGGTTGGGGCGACTGTCGCGAGACTTACAAGTCCTTTTCATGCATTTAGCAGCTGTACACATGGGGTCTGTGAATGAGTCAATAGCATCATCTATATTATCTGGTAGTAACAGGGTACATTGTTCAGAACAATCATCCACATGTGGCAAAACTAGACTATAACTGAACTGCTGTAGTTTCGCCATGTCCAACACAAAGTGGTAGTTTTCACGAGACGCACGTGCGGTCCCTGTTGCTTCAACGGGAGTCTCCTGATCGCGTGCTTGTAACGAACAAGATGGTGGAAGGTGTGAGGATTCTGCCCTCGACACAATATCAAATGTTTTACAGTGGAAGAATAGACTGTTGGATTCAATAATGTAGTCAATTACACTGGAGTCTGAGTGACCTATGTAAGTATAATCACCTATACCTAAATCCGAACCACAGTGACCATTTATAATAGGCATGTCGAGAGCGGCACACGTATTTACAAGATATTTTCCGGCATTGTTTGCAAATATCACATGCTTTTCTATCTATGTTGATACTATCGGACAGAACTAACATATTCTCGTCACCTAAAACCTCGGCGATATCATCATCAATATGATCAGACAGTGTCCCTGTACGTTTGTCCGGGCGTTGAAATCCCCACCTATTCTCTGAGGATATGTATATCTCTTGTTAATGACCAAATAACTTCTATAAGTGCGTTAAAGAATAAAGTCAAACTACACTTGATTTTCTGTTTATTACACCAGCTTGATCCTGGCGGATTGACATATACACAACAAATAAGAATGTCTTTTTCAAGATTAAATACTCAATTATGCGGGGGCAGTGAGAGTGGGGGGATAGATGATAGATTTAGCAACAAGTAAGGTCATCTTGAGTGGGACGGTATTCGCAGATGGTACAGCATATGAACTATGATTCTCTTTAGGTAGAAAATGCGGATCCACGATGTTCGACCTGGTAGAAGTGCGCAATCAAACCTAGCAGCATTGGTTTTTGACTGATTGTGGCGTCAAAACAAACTCATTCATTTACTTGAACTGAATGTTCATCTTAATTGTTATGGATAGTCACGGAGCCATGATCCAGAGAACAGGGTGTCATTAGATAGAAATAAAGTAATAATAGGATTACCAGAAAAACGGGATATAACACCCAAGCCAATAAACTTCGCTCATTAACACCAGAATAAGTCAGGACAAAATTGAAAACTGCCCCATAATTATGTATGACATGCTTGTCGGGTATTGCAACATGTATATGTGAAAACAAAGTTATTAAAATAAAGAACAAAACTGATGAAAGTTACCAATAAACGTGTATACGTAAGTGTTATATCGTCACTGCAAAAATAATGAGTGTTTGTCTTTCGTATTAACATTCAAATACGTTATATCTGTATTAGCGATAGTGTCTACGTTCCACCGGTGAGTCAGCGTTAGCCGTACTATCTCGTAGTATATATTATTGTATTTCTGAAGACATCACGATACAGTTTTTACGATGCATCACGTCTGCACTAGCGCTTGATAACAGCCTTGTGTTTGGGTGTATCAGTAGTTTAAATCGCTGCTCTTGATATTGTTGATTAAACTTTGATACTATGAACAATATAATGTTATATGAGAGGATGACTTTAGAACGGTAACATACTATATATATAGACATAAATAGAACAATGAGTAGTACGTCCAGATTAGTGTATAGGCAACATTTCATAATTAAAATAACTAAATGACTTATAAGTAAATGCAAGAATTCAATCGGCCGGAATACAATGTATAATTCTTGTCCACTTCCATATGACTTTATAGCATACAATAAGCTTTCGGGTCCCGTTTAGATCGGTTTGGGTGGCAGACTAGATACCCATAGAATAGTTTCATCTCGGAATCTCCCATATCACTGGGGCTCCTCTTCAATTTAAATGGAGTTACTTGTTACGATTCCGAACCTTCACGAGACTCTGTTTATGAATCATTGTCAAATAGTGGTGACATTAAATCTAGGAAACAATACGCGAAATCGCGCATGCACAGAACGGAAAATTTGACAAGGCATTAAGTAATCCGCATGCGCAGAACGATTGATTTCAGTACTTCCGCTAAGCGCTTCGTGTGCAGCGTCAAACGCGGGCCTGTAATCTAACACGCGAGGACTGACCAATGAATTCAAAGAAGGTAGAAATACCGGTAGACGCTGTTGCTTGATTGACAATGTCAATCAAGAAAGGGAGGAGCTTAACGGTATCGTTCTCTCCCAGTAAATTCCGATGTCAAATAACGACGTTATTTGGACGGAAAAAGGATAGTTTGAAAACGTCCAAATAACGTCGTTTTTCCTTCCAATAACCATATACGGGAAAAAACGACGTTTTCGTGTTTGCAGTGTCACTTGGGGCTTTCCTCACACATTAAGCTGACACGCCGCGATATAACTTGAATAGTGTTAAAATCGGCGTTAAACCCAACTCACTCACTCACTCACTAAATGAAATCATTAACACATCATCGCATATTCTGATTGATCTTTTTGTGAATGACTTGATCATGGTGAACAAAAGGCGATATCAACGGTATTTCAGGCATCCTAATGTGGACGGAAAGCCAAATGTTACCATAAGTATGTTTTGCATTCTGTCATATTCCAATGGTTTGGTTTGTTTGTTGTTTAACGCCGTACTCAGCAATATTACAGCTATATGATGGTGGTGGTCTGTAAAGATTCGAGTCTGATCCAAACAATCAAGTGATTGACACCATGAGCATCGATCCACGCAATTGGGATCGATGACATGCATCAACCAAGTCAGCGAGCCTGATCACCCGATCCCGTTAGTCGCCTCTTACGACAAGCACAGTCGCCTTTTACGACAAGCATGGGTTGCTGAAGACCTGTTCTACCCCGGATCTACACGGGTCCATTGGTGAATGCATGCCTGTTTATATATGATTAAGCGATGACATTTACTAGGAAAAAACAGACTGGCTAATAGATGGCAACAGTCGCAGATCGTGGGTTCCCCAGCTATTATGTTTCCACTTGACATGCCGATCTTCATTGCTTGCGTACACGAGTGGTCAACATTCAAAGGAGACAAACCCTTAAATGTGTTTCGCATCTCATGTAGCATTCTTCCATCACATCCTTCATCACTATATGTTCCTATCGTTTCATGGTACAACTTGTGTTTAATTACAGCCCCTATCTGTACATCCCGCGGAAGCGAGTGTGGTTTCAACGGAGATTGTGACACATCCAGAACACCCTATGCCTGTCGCTGTCTCAACGGATACACTGGCAAACTGTGTACACAAGGTGAGACTTCCCACGGGAATGGCTACGTTTATACAATATGTACCCAAAGAACCACAGAAAGTGCTAAACATTTTCAGGTGAGATTTTATACAAATGTGAGATATTTCGCTCAGGAATAACTAAACTGGTAAAAAGTGTATTAAAAGTTAGATAGTTCCCGAAAAAAGTGTCTACACTGGTTTAATGTAAACTATGCTACATTATAGGTCGGATGCGGCACATGCAATGAATAGCTGACATAGTCATTTGTTCATATCTGTGACAATGTGTATTACAATGTAGACAAAATCACGGTACAAATTTATGACAATACTCAAATCTAGCTCTAATAGTTTTCAACAATGCAATTTAACGTCTGGATACTTAGAAATTTGTCCTCGTTCAGCACACTCGGCTAAAAGCGACAAAACCATCTCCACAATGTTCCCAGGTGATTTCCAAATCGAAACAACGAAGGCTACCTCAGGCATCTGTTCGTGCGGAACTACATTGTGAAATCACCAACTGAGCACAAAAGGCCAATGAATATGTAACAAATTAAATTGAACAAGTTTAATATATATATATATATATATATATATATATCAAGGTTTAATATAGCAAGATGTAATACAATGGTCCAAAAAAGAGGCAGAAAAAAAGTAACAGGACCTGTGTTATTTGTCCGTGCACTTACGAATGTCCAAAATGTGTCACAGTGGAATGTCTTGAATGGGATACGTGCTCTGTTCTTGAATCTCGGAAATGGTGTTGGAATCGGCCAGAAACTCTGTGGTTTGAGATGGGTATCCTATCCGCGATGAGCGAGTAGATACGACGGACGTTAGCCTTTAGAAGTCCTCGATGTAGCCCATCCCTGTGACGTGAACACCAGTTAAGGGAGGTAACTCTAAGTGACTAGCCCCTCCCTGTGATGTGAACACCAGTTAAGGGAGGTAACTCTAAGTGACTAGCTGAAACTTTGAAATTACATAAATAACGATATCTACTGCTACGTAACAACAATATAAGACATTTCCACTGTTACTTTATCACTTCCGATTACATCATACGCGTTTATCGAATAGTGGTGATACTAGGTGTTCGCCAAAAGGTAACAATATCCTGCCACACCGGTTGCACCCATCACAAAATCATAAGAAAAAATCGGGATGTCACTGATGCCTTCAATTTGGAAATCTCCTCAACATAGTTCATGTTATCATTGTTGCATGTTATCATTGTTGCATGGTATCATTGTTGCATGTTATCATTGTTGCATGTTATCATTGTTGTATGGTATCATTGTTGCATGTTATCATTGTTGCATGGTATCATTGTTGCATGTTATCATTGTTGCATGTTATCATTGTTGTATGGTATCATTGTTGTATGTTATCATTGTTGCATGTTATCATTGTTGCATGTTATCATTGTTGTATGTTATCATTGTTGCATGTTATCATTGTTGTATGTTATCATTGTTGCATGTTATCATTGTTGCATGTTATCATTGTTTATGTTATCATTGTTGCATGTTATCATTGTTGTATGTTATCATTGTTGCATGCTATCGTTGTTGCATGTTATCATTGTTGTATGTTATCATTGATGCATGTTATCATTGTTGCATGTTATCAATGTTGTATGCTATCGTTGTTGCATGCTATCATTGGTGTATGCTATCGTTGTTGCATGTTATCATTGTTGTATGCTATCGTTGTTGCATGCTATCATTGTTGTATGTTATCATTGTTGCATGCCATCATTGTTGTATGCTATCGTTGTTGTATGCTATCGTTGTTGCATGCTATCATTGTTGCATGTTATCATTGGTGTATGCTATCATTGTTGTATGCTGTCATTGGTGTATGCTATCGTTGTTGCATGCTATCATTGTTGCATGTTATCATTGGTGTATGTTATCATTGTTGCATGTTATCATTGATGTATGCTATCATTGTTGCATATTATCATTGTTGCATGTTATCATTGTTTCATGTTATCATTGGTGAATGTTATCATTGTTGCATGTTATCATTGGTGTATGTTATCATTGATGTATGTTATCATTGGTGTATGTTATCATTGTTGCATGTTATCATTGATGTATGTTATCATTGGTGAATGTTATCATTGGTGTATGTTATCATTGATGTATGTTATCATTGGTGAATGTTATCATTGTTGCATGTTATCATTGGTGTATGTTATCATTGTTGCATGTTATCATTGGTGTATGTTATCATTGATGTATGTTATCACTGTTGCATGCTGCCATTGGTGTATGCTATCATTGTTGCATGTAATCATTGTTGCATGTTATCATTGTTTCATGTTATCATTGGTGAATGTTGTCATTGTTGCATGTCATCATTGTTGTATGTTATCATTGTTGCATGTTATCATTGTTGCATGTTATCATTGTTGCATGTTATCGTTGTTGCATGCTATCGTTGTTGCATGTTATCATTGTTGCATGTTATCATTGTTGTATGCTATCGTTGTTGCATGCTATCATTGGTGTATGTTATCATTGTTGCATGTTATCATTGTTGCATGTTATCGTTGTTGTATGCTATCGTTGTTGCATGTTATCATTGTTGTATGCTATCGTTGTTGCATGCTATCATTGTTGTATGCTATCATTGTTGCATGCTATCATTGTTGTATGCTATCGTTGTTGTATGCTGTCATTGTTGCATGTTATCGTTGGTGTATGTCACCATTGTTGCATGCTGTCATTGGTGTATGCTATCATTGTTGTATGCTGTCATTGGTGTATGCTATCGTTGTTGCATGCTATCATTGTTGCATGTTATCATTGGTGTATGTTATCATTGTTGCCAGTATCATTGGTGTATGCTATCATTGTTGCATATTATCATTGTTGCATGTTATCATTGTTTCATGTTATCATTGGTGAATGTTATCATTGTTGCATGTTCTCATTGGTGTATGTTATCATTGATGTATGTTATCACTGTTGCATGCTGCCATTGGTGTATGTTATCATTGTTGCATGCTGTCAATTATAGCATGCATCAATGACAGCATGCAACAATTGTTACATGTTATTGTCGTTGCATGCTATTGTTGTACCGTAGCATTGTTGTGTGGTATCATTGTTGCATGTTACCTTTGTTGTATGTTATAATTGTCCCATGTTATCATTGTTGTATGTTGCCATTGTTGCATGTTATCATTGTTGTATGTTGCCATTGTTGTATGTTATTATTGTCCCATGTTATCATTGTTGTATGTTGCCATTGTTGCATGCTGTAATTGTTGTATGTTACCATTGCTGTATGTAATTATTGTTGCATGTTATCATTGTTGTATGGTATCATTGTTGCATATTATCATATCATTGTCGCATATCAGTATCGTTGCATGTTAACATTGTTGTATGTTACCATTGTTTTATGTTATGTACATAATTGCGAAATATGAAAATAACAAATTAAATTACCTTCTGAGAGGAAGAACTTCAGGTCAATATGTACAGAAAGTATAGTCGTAACAGTCATGTCATATTTCCTACAAGGTGATGTGGTTTTTCTCCACAGCCCCGATATGCTCGGCCAAGGGAAATGAGTGTGGCGACCATGGAGACTGTGATACGTCGAGAAGAGAATACGTATGTTCTTGTAAGAACGGATACACTGGCCCAAGGTGTGCGTCAGGTAAAAACAAATACTTCTTTAAAACATTGTCCCGATTTTCAACTTTAACAATTAAGTGGCTCCTATTAAGATTTGAAATTTATTTTTAAAAGAACCTAATTGTTAAACATCGCTTCAGCAAAGCTATTTCAGAGTCCTCGGACAGTGGGATCCCATATTCGCCCTGCTTAACGCCTAAGACAATAGACTTTCCCCTTGCTTAAGCAGACAAGGAATACCTTTTAAAGGGGCGTAAATGCATTCAAATCGGGGGTGGTACTTCGGTACTGCCGGCTAATAAGATCAGGCAAGAAGTAAAGAATGACGCCATCAACGATTATCCAACGTATTATACCTCCATTCTTGCTTCATGAATACCCTGTTCCCGATCGTTACCATAACCTCGTTGAGAAAGTAACGTCACCAACTCCATCTCTACAATCAGTAACTTTGTGCACTACTGGGTCGGTTCGAATCCTGGTTCGCCCCGATTATGTTTCTAGGTTTGTCAGCACCGTACTCGTACTCATGGGTTTCATCGAAGTGGTAAACGTCTGAGACCTGCATCACATCGGACTTTCCTCCCACGTTAAGCTGACACGCCGTAATATACCTGAAATACTGTTAAAAGCGGCGTTAAACCCGACTCACTCACTCACTGCACTGCTGGAAGAATTGAGTGTTGTGATATGTGCTGCTTCATAACGTCTCATTGACATTACGCTTTTGCGCCATGCTGATTGGTCAGTTCACGCCGTTTGTTTGGGGAAGGGACCCATAACACAGGTGTCATGTCTGCAAATCAACATCAGCCTTTGTTGATGACGCCACGTGTTTTGTGTTACATCGTTCGAACTGATTAAATGAGCTCAGTGGTCCCCTTGTGAACCGGAAGTCCACATTCTTCTCCATCCTCCTAAGAAAATAAAACCTTGGAATTTACATTGGTTGACTACGAGTAACGGAGTATCTGTCCCAAGAGAAATAATATCACTAAATTATTTCACTAGTGACTGACAATCCATATTCCTTTTGGATCATTAGGAACCTATTATATTCAAGAGGGGCTTGGATATTTGTTTAAGTGTACGCTTGACATGCTGAAAGTCGTCATAAAACGTTCGTAAAAGTATTTAAATGTTAGGCAGTTGCATTCACAGGACGAAATTGTGTGTTCATAAGCTATGGCAGAAAACATAAAAACACACATATTACAACAAATCCCCCCCCCCCCCCCCCCCCCCCAACACCACCCCCACCAACACCACCCCCACCCCCCCCACCCCTTAATATTTTGTTGTGGGTGGCGTAGTTATTTTCTGTGTTGTCTCCACAGCTCCCTTCTGCGTGGCTGGGGGGAACACGTGTGGAGACAATGGTAACTGTGACACGGATTCCAGTTATCAATACTGTGTCTGCAAGAACGGATACACTGGCCCAAGGTGTACGAGAGGTAAGGAGGCTACAATCATAGCACTAAGCTTTAGGATAAATAGTTTTAAACATTATCATCATATATTGTATAATATCATCGATCAATCTCATAATTTTTAAACTCCGGGATACGTTTTCTGTAGATCTGGGTTTTGTTTGAATAGAATATAAACACATCAGTGCTTCAAGTTACGTTTCCATGAGGCACTGTTTTATTTATTACTCGAATGAAAGATATCATTAGATAAAATATTAACATCACTAATGAGAATCTGTGGGAATACTTATTTTTCTTAGGCAATATAGAACATATAAACATTTCTAAATATCACAAAATATGATTTTTAGATATCCTTAATCATATATAGTTATCTAACAATCCAATTTGTGATATCAATAAATATGTTCAAATATCATTGTAAATCGCGTTTATGATTCACATTAATGCGCATTTTGTGATCAATAAATGAAACATTGATATCATAAATTAGAGATTAGATTTCGCCTCGTGCTATTTCTCTGTGAATAGAACATTATCAAATCATCACTATAGTTGACATAAAGCTGAAATAGACGATACTATGTACTACTCATATGCTATGAAGGATACTTCTTTCAGTGGCATTTAGAAGTTGGTGTGATGAAGTAAGACAAGTTCTATGGATGAACAACTTCTTTATTACAATTAGTGTGACGTTTCGGTGTAGATCAAGTCTACTACATCCCGCCTGCTTACCATCACCTAATTGCTAAATCCCTATGTCCGTCCAATTAATCTACTGACTCTGTGTCCATTAGTCCTCCACTGGCTTCCAATCATCTCTATCAGTCTGCTTGCTGACTCTGTGTCCATTAGTCATCCACTGGCTTTCAAGTATCTTAATCAGCTCTCTGTGGCCATCAATCAATTTACTGTATAAACATTGATGTTAATAAGTATATATACCTAAAAGTATGTTGTTTAGCACTATCCATCACTTGCTTGATAAAGGTGTTAGAATCTACACCGAAACGTCGCACTAATTGTAATAAAGAAGTTGTTCATCCATAGAACTTGTCTATGAAGGATACAGTAACGTATATATGGTGACATTGTGTCGCAGATATCGTTATAGCAGCTACTACTTAACACACCTTTTAACAATGGTTAAAAAATGATCATACAATTATACCATTTCTTGGCTCTTGGTTGTGTTGCTCTATGACCTGTATCAATTCAGGCTTTCCTCCCACACGAATCTGACGCACCGTTATATAACCGGAATTATTTTCAAAATGGTTATTAACCCGACATATTCACTCTGTTTATTTCTCAGCCCCCTTCTGCACTATTGGAGGGACAGATTGTGGCACCAACGGGGAATGCGCCAGGGTACAAGGAGGAAATTATGTATGCCTCTGCATGAACGGCTACACAGGCGACAAATGCACAATTGGTGAGGCTATCTATTATTTGCTATCAGCTAATGTGTAAATTATGAGATAAATCTACTGTATTTTGAAATTTAAGGTAGCTTTACTGTAGATTATCAGATATATTAGTTTGAAACCCAGGGCTTTGGTGCTAGGAAACAAAATGAAATCTTTCATTGTGAAGGATGACAGAAATAGTGACAAGATTGATGACAACAAGGTTGAATGACAGTGTTTCAGTAATATTAAGGCTGAAGCATCGAAAAAGCACGGTTAGGTGTGAAAATGATGGTAATGTTGATGTTTTCAATGGAACAGCTCCTTATTTTATTTTGTCCAGTCAAATTCGAGTATTCGTCAGTATCATGATAAAATAAAAGTAAAACGCAGCTTTGAACAATGGCTCAAAATGAAAACATACAAACAATTATATCATTTCTGTGAAGAGAGGCTCTTGATTTTGTTGTCTAAAAGATTAACTTCTTTTGCTTTGACAGCTACTTTTATAGCTGTGACAACGTTATGTTTTTGTGTTGTGCAGCAACAAGCCGCGTGTGCACTATTGGAGGGAGCGAATGTGGCGTCAACGGAGTCTGCGAGGAATGGAAATGGGAAAATTACTGTCTCTGCAAGAATGGATACACTGGGAAAACGTGTAACATAGGTGAGCTTGGGTATATGTTACACATTGTATATAATTTGCTAATCCGGAATATTTCCCAGGGAAGGGAATATTTTGAATGAATGGCATTTCTCAACAGATGAATACGATACTACTTCTAGAGTCTTAATTTTATGACAATGCTTAGCAACAAGCCCTTGTTTAAGATTCCATGTAAAGCTTTTTATAAGAAATATGAAACGTCAAGATATTATTTGCACTGAAAAATGAACCATTTACACAGAACAACTTTTAAAGTTGTGATGTATTATCCTATTGTATTGATGTCAGTATGGTAGAAGAAATGCCTTCTTTGAAACGTCTTAATGATCTAACACGATTATAAAATGCTGATTTCAACGGCTTCGTAAGGAAAATAAGGCGTTCCTAATACATATAGTCATCTTTTGTTGTATAGTTCCCAGGGAGCTGAAAATACAATTAAAATTGAATGTCATGAACTTTGCCTTTCTGTGATTGCCGAATATTATTATCATTATTATTATCATATATAGATCAAAATCATAAATTCAGCAAAGGGGCGTTTGGGTGATCCTGGCACAGTCAAGCTGGTTAGGCTAATCATTAGCTAAGGGCCGTTGTCCCCTGTACACGCTGCCCTGACAGCGAATGGGACTTCTCCCAGGAAGCGCTGCCTTCTCGAACCCACCCAGAACGTTTTGGAGAATGTGAAGACTCCTCAACACTGCAGCCTTCTGCATTACCCAGATTGTCGGAAGGGATGTATTCCTGGCAGCGAACCCGGGTACAACAGATTGGGAGGCACCAGGAACAATGAGGAGTCGGATAATTGCCATGTTTTTTTCCTTAATCTTGACAATCACAAAAGGGACAGAAAAACCTCAGCAATATAATTGTCATTGATTTCTTCAAAAAGATTTATTAAAAAGATCAGTTTGTTGGCCTGGCTAGGTCTGAGGCTGTAAATGGGCCTATTCAAACTTTGCTTTCACTATTTTCCATGACGCCCTCTGCATATTCTTGCTCGTACCATGAATGGACTTATGTGTCAAAAACCACAAGCATGGCGAATACGGTAACAAAAGGATCGAGTCACTTAAGTCACGCCGCTTAAGATACCGTGTTTGTTCCAAAGCTTGGCATCCACTGATAATGTGTCGGACGGTCTCACTAAATCCATTGCCTAATCTACATTTCATGTTTACATTTGGATGCAAAATCACACATTGACGGTTTCGAGTGGGAAGTAACTAGCCCTGAGCAGCAAACAGAAAGCCTTCTGTTTCATTTTACAGGCCAGCCAATTTAATCCAAGCGAAGAACTCTTCAGGGTTGCTGATCTTCTCAACACACTGCTTATTGTTTTTGTTATTGTTATTATTAAGTTATATTTCATTATCATTTTTTTATTTTAGCCCCAGTTTGTGCGGCATCAGGGGATCAATGTGGTGGAAATGGAGAGTGTAACGTCTGCACCAACTACCACTTCTGTCAATGTTCTCCTGGCTACAACGGTGACACCTGTTCCGCGGGTGAGTGTGTCGTCAATTGCTAGATTAGATAAAGGTGCTGATTGCTATTGTTTCCACAGGTACATACTAACAGTCCCCTATACGTGGTGTAGATTGTTTATGGCTTTGGCCGGTGTATTGGGAGCAGGTCCATCAGTGTGATGTATCTACAATTTAAAATCCTGATAAAATGGGTATCATATGGGTGTTAAATGCTAACAAAATATATCAAAGTGATGTGCAACCACTATGAATGTATCTAGTTAAAATTCATTCATGAAATATCTGCTGTGTTCAGATCAGACAATGCATATGTTATTTCTATAGTGGCGGTAATGATTGTTGGATTATATTTCAGGACATCATCAGGATTCAAGTACCGCTCCTGTCAAGGTTGTTTCGATGACATTCCTGATGATCTGTCTGTTTGGACGTCTGTTTTTATGGTAGTTTCTGTCGCATTCCAGATGATCTGTGTATTTTGAAATCTGCTGTTAAGGTAGTTTTTATGACATTCCGGATGATCTCTGGGTTTGGAAATCTTCTGTTTTTATGGTAGTTTCTGTCGCATTCCAGATGATCTGTGTATTTTGAAATCTGCTGTTAAGGTAGTTTTTATGACATCCCGGATGATCTCTGTGTTTGGAAGTCTGTTTTTATGTTAGTTTCTGTCGCATTCCAGATGATCTGTGTATTTTGAAATCTGCTGTTAAGGTAGTTTTTATGACATTCCTGATGATCTCTGTCTTTGGAAGTCTGTTGTATATAGGTAGTTTCTATCGCATTCCAGATGGTCTGTGTATTTTGAAATCTGCTGTTTAGGTAGTTTTTATGACATTCCTGATGATCTCTGAGTTTGGAAGTCTGTTTTTATGTTAGTTTCTATCGCATTCCAGATGATCTGTGTATTTTGAAATCTGCTGTTAACGTAGTTTTTATGACATTCCTGATGATCTCTATGTTTGGAAGTCTGTTTTTATGGTAGTTTCTGTCGCATTCCAGATGATCTGTGTATTTTGAAATCTGCTGTTAAGGTAGTTTTTATGACATTCCTGATGATCTCTATGTTTGGAAGTCTATTTTTATGGTAGTTTCTGTCGCATTCCAGATGGTCTGTGTATTTTGAAATCTGCTGTTAAGGTAGTTTTTATGACATTCCGGATGATCTCTGTGTTTGGGAGTCTGTTGTATATAGGTAGTTTCTATCGCATTCCAGATGATCTGTGTATTTTGAAATCTGCTGTTAAGGTAGTTTTTATGACATTCCGGATGATCTCTGTGTTTGGGAGTCTGTTTTTATGGTAGTTTCTGTCGCATTCCAGATGATCTGTGTATTTTGAAATCTGCTATTAAGGTAGTTTTATGACATTCCTGATGATCTCTGTGTTTTGGAGTCTGTTTTTATGGTAGTTTCTGTCGCATTCCAGATGATCTGTGTATTTTGAAATCTGCTGTTAAGGTAGTTTTTATGACATGCCTGATGATCTCTATGTTTGGAAGTCTGTTGTATAAAGGTAGTTTCTATCGCATTCCAGATGATCTGTGTATTTTGCAATCTGCTGTTAAGGTAGTTTTTATGACATCCCGGATGATCTCTGTCTTTGGAAGTCTGTTTTTATGTTAGTTTCTGTCGCATTCCAGATGATCTGTGTATTTTGAAATCTGCTGTTAAGGTAGTTTTTATGACATGCCTGATGATCTCTATGTTTGGAAGTCTGTTGTATAAAGGTAGTTTCTATCGCATTCCAGATGATCTGTGTATTTTGCAATCTGCTGTTAAGGTAGTTTTTATGACATCCCGGATGATCTCTGTCTTTGGAAGTCTGTTGTATATAGGTAGTTTCTATCGCATTCCAGATGATCTGTGTATTTTGAAATCTGCTGTTAAGGTAGTTTTTATGACATTCCGGATGATCTCTGTGTTTGGGAGTCTGTTTTTATGGTAGTTTCTGTCGCATTCCAGATGATCTGTGTATTTTGAAATCTGCTATTAAGGTAGTTTTATGACATTCCTGATGATCTCTGTGTTTGGAAGTCTGTTTTTATGGTAGTTTCTATCGCATTCCAGATGATCTGTGTATTTTGAAATCTGCTGTTAAGGTAGTTTTTATGACATCCCGGATGATCTCTGTCTTTGGAAGTCTGTTTTTATGTTAGTTTCTGTCGCATTCCAGATGATCTGTGTATTTTGAAATCTGCTGTTAAGGTAGTTTTTATGACATGCCTGATGATCTCTATGTTTGGAAGTCTGTTGTATAAAGGTAGTTTCTATCGCATTCCAGATGATCTGTGTATTTTGCAATCTGCTGTTAAGGTAGTTTTTATGACATCCCGGATGATCTCTGTCTTTGGAAGTCTGTTTTTATGGTAGTTTCTGTCGCATTCCAGATGATCTGTGTATTTTGAAATCTGCTGTTAAGGTAGTTTTTATGACATTCCTGATGATCTCTATGTTTGGAAGTCTGTTTTTATGGTAGTTTCTGTCGCATTCCAGATGATCTGTGTATTTTGAAATCTGCTGTTCACGTAGTTTTTATGACATTCCTGATGATCTCTGTCTTTGGAAGTCTGTTTTTATGGTAGTTTCTGTCGCATTCCAGATGATCTGTGTATTTTGAAATCTGCTGTTAACGTAGTTTTTATGACATTCCTGATGATCTCTGTGTTTGGAAGTCTGTTTTTATGGTAGTTTCTGTCGCATTCCAGATGATCTGTGTATTTTGCAATCTGCTATTAAGGTAGTTTTTATGACATCCCGGATGATCTCTGTGTTTGGAAGTCTGTTTTTATGGTAGTTTCTGTCGCATTCCAGATGATCTGTGTATTTTGAAATCTGCTGTTAAGGTAGTTTTTATGACATCCCGGATGATCTCTGTCTTTGGAAGTCTGTTTTTATGTTAGTTTCTATCGCATTCCAGATGATCTGTGTATTTTGAAATCTGCTATTAAGGTAGTTTCTAACACATTCCTGGTGGTCAGTGTACTTGAAAGTCTGTTGTATAAAGGTAGTTTCTGTGACACCCCTGGTGATCTGTTGTTAGTAAGTCTTCTGTTAAAATGTAGTTTCTAAGACAACCCTAGTGCTCTGTGTATTTGGAAATCTGCTGTTTAAAAGTAGTTTCTATGACATCCCTAGTGCTCCGTGCATTTGGAAATCTGCTGTATAAAAATAGTTTCTCTGACAACCCTGGTGATCTGGAGGTTTAGGTCTGCTGTTATGAGGTAGTTTCTCTGACAACCCTGGTGATCTGTTTATTTGGATATCTGCTGTTATGAGGTAGTTTCTATGACAACCCTTGTGGTCTGTTTATTTGGATATCTGCTGTTATGAGGTAGTTTCTATGACAACCCTTGTGGTCTGTTTATTTGGATATCTGCTGTTATGAGGTAGTTTCTCTGACAACCCTGGTGATCTGTTTATTTGGATATCTGCTGTTATGAGGTAGTTTCTATGACAACCCTTGTGGTCTGTTTATTTGGATATCTGCTGTTATGAGGTAGTTTCTATGACAACCCTTGTGGTCTGTTTATTTGGATATCTGCTGTTATGAGGTAGTTTCTCTGACAACCCTGGTGATCTGTTTATTTGGATATCTGCTGTAATGAGGTTGTTTCTATGACAAACCTTGTGGTCTGTGTACTTGGATATATGCTGTTAAAAAGGAAGTTTTCTTTATATTCCTGATAATGTGTGTGTTTGACACTCGGCTGTGATAAAGGCAGTTCCCGTGACAACCCTGATGATATTTGTATTTGAAAATCTTTTGCTAAGTAGTTTCTGTGACATTCCTCATGACCTATGTATTTGAAAGTTTTTTACTAAGGTCGATTCGGTAACATCCACGAATGCTGAACATATCTTTCTCAATTCTTTCTCGCCCTTTCCATTCCACCACGGCATGTGGATATGCTGACACGAGACAGTTAATGAACTGAAATAAAAGTGATGTCATAAGTATAACTGTTTCGTCTTGTTTGTGCAATTATCTCACCCCGACTCAAACACTCGGAGTATTCCGAGACATACGTTTTGAGATAAGGCCTCACCATCTTAGGCGTCACTTAGACGTGCCAGGATCCGAAAAGTCATGGGTTCGAATCCCAGCCCAAATCACGTGGGTTTGACCAAAGTTATTAAAACCTACATGCCTTTCCTACCACATGTAGCTGACACGCTGTTATACAGCAGAAATATTGTTCAAGCGGCGTGCGTAAAACCCAAACAACTCACTCATTAATCTTTGGGGAATGTGGGATCACAAGAATCATTCGGTGATTACAGATTGAGGGCATGCTAGAGGACAAAATGCCTATTGTCAAACTCGACTGTCACATTCGAGTGACCTTGATGTACCCATAAATACGTATATCATGTATGCAAATTCGTCATTCCACAATTGGAATCCAATTGCTTATAGAGAGTAGGAGTCGGGCTGTAAGTAGACATGTTCCGACGTCTAATGTCACGTGATTAGTAACACCTAGAATCTCGCGAGATCTGACCGGAACATGAACCCGAGAGATATATTGGGGTTTGTGTGTTTGTTTAACGCCGCAGTCTGCAATATTTCAGTTATATTACGGCAATCTATAAGTAATCGAGTTTGGACCAGACAATCTAGTCATGGATATAGTGAGCTTGGATGAACGCAATTGCGATACGATGACACACAGCTACATGACAAGCCGATCCCTCTACTTAAAAGCATGTTTTGCTGCATTGGAGAAAGGGACTGGGATCGAGTAGCGGTTGAAAAACCAAGTTCGTACAGTGGTCGTATTGATTTTACAACAGTCTACTAATCTTTTCCTTCAAATACGTGACGAGAGATGGTAGAAAATTGGCAGACATTAGCAGGCACAGCATGAACCTCGTCATACCTCGGACAGCTTCATGACATTAGCAGTAATATATGAACCTCATCATACCTCGCACACATACATGAGATTAGCAGTTACAACATGAACATCATCATACATTGCACAGCTACATGACATTAGCAGTAACAACATGAACCTCGTCATACCTCGCACACATACATGACATAAGCAGTAACGACATAAACTTCATCACACCTCGCAGAGCTTCATTACATTAGCAGTAACAGCATAAACCTCAGCATACCTCACAAAGCAACATGACATTAGCAGTAACAACATGAACCTCATCATACCTCACACAGCTACATGACATTAGCAGGAACAACATGAACATCATCATGCCTCGCACAGCTACATAACATTAGCAGTAACAACATCAACCTCATCATACCTCGCACAGCTACATGACATTAGCAGTAACAACATGAACATCATCATACCTCACACAGCTACATGACATTAGCAGGAACAACATGAACATCATCATGCCTCGCACAGCTACATTACATTAGCAGTAACAACATCAACCTCATCATACCTCACACAGCTACATGACATTAGCAGTAACAACATCAACCTCATCATACCTCACACAGCTACATGACATTAGCAGGAACAACATGAACATCATCATGCCTCGCACAGCTACATAACATTAGCAGTAACAACATCAACCTCATCATACCTCACACAGCTACATGACATTAGCAGTAACAACATCAACCTCATCATACCTCACACAGCTACATGACATTAGCAGTAACAACATCAACCTCATCATACCTCACACAGCTACATGACATTAGCAGGAACAACATGAACATCATCATGCCTCGCACAGCTACATAACATTAGCAGTAACAACATCAACCTCGTCATACCTCGCACAGCTACATAACATTAGCAGTAACAACATCAACCTCATCATACCTCACACAGCTACATGACATTAGCAGGAACAACATGAACATCATCATGCCTCGCACAGCTACATAACATTAGCAGTAACAACATCAACCTCATCATACCTCGCACAGCTACATGACATTAGCAGTAACAACATGAACATCATCATACCTCACACAGCTACATGACATTAGCAGTAACAACATGAACATAATCATACATCGCACAGCTACATGACATTAGCAGTAACAACATGAACCTCGTCATACCTCACACAGCTACATGACATTAGCAGTAACAACATGAACATAATCATACATCGCACAGCTACATGACATTAGCAGTAACAACATGAACCACATCATACCTCGCACAGCTACATGACATTAGCAGTAACAACATGAACCTCATCATACCTCGCACAGCTACATGACATTAGCAGTAACAACATAAACCGCATCATACCTCGCACAGCTACATGACAGAAGCAGTAACAACATAAACCGCATCATACCTCGCACAGCTACATGACATTAGCAGTAACAACATGAACCTCATCATACCTCGCACAGCTACATGACATTAGCAGTAACAACATAAACCGCATCATACCTCGCACAGCTACATGACGTTAGCAGTAACAACATGAACCTCATCATACCTCGAAGAGCTACATGACATTAACAGTAACAACATCAACCTCATCGTGCCTCGCACAGCTACATGACATTAGCAGTAACAACATGAACCTCATCATACCTCGCACAGCTACATGACATTAGCAGTAACAACATGAAGCTCGTCATACCTCGCACAGCTACATGACATTAACAGTAACAACATCAACCTCATCATACCTCGCACAGCTACATGACATTAGCAGTAACAACATGAAGCTCGTCATACATCGCACAGCTACATGACATTAGCAGTAACAACATGAACCTCATCATACCCCAAACAGCTACATGACATTAGCAGTAACAACAAGAACCTCAAAATACCTCGCACAGCTACATGACATTAGCAGTAACAACATGAACCTCATCATACCTCGCACAGCTACATGACATTAGCAGTATCAACATGAACCTCGTCATACCTCGCACAGCTACATGACATTAGAAGTAACAACATAAACCTCGTCATACCTCGCACAGCTACATGACATTAGCAGTAACAACATGAACCTCATCATACCTCGCACAGCTACATGACATTAGAAGTAACAACATGAACCTCGTCATACCTCGCACAGCTACATGACATTAGCAGTAACAACATGAACCTCATCATACCTCGCACATCTACATGACATTAGCAGTAACAACATGAACCTCATCATACCTCGCACAGCTACATGACATTAGAAGTAACAACATAAACCTCGTCATACCTCGCACAGCTACATGACATTAGCAGTAACAACATGAATCTCATCATACCTCGCACAGCTACATGACATTAACGGTTATATATCACTTCTTTTTTTTAGGGTTTTTTGTTTTCTTTCCTCCTTTGTTCATCTCAGCAGGTATAGCATATTAGTGGTGAGGGGGTATATATATATATATATATACATATATATATATATATATATATATATCATGTCAATAGATATGTCAATACCTAAGGTTTAGAGCTTCCCAACTGATGATATTGTTCCAAACAAGCAAATTGTTACACAGTTAAATAATTACTGATTGCCTTCTTATTTAAGGCAACTTGTGCCAGACCAGTAACTACTTATATCATTTCAGAACACTTTAAACTATTTTAAAAATGAATGATGTTTCACGTTTCGTTAATAACATGGGGCCCGTTAAGGTCCGGGGTAGAATTGGTCTTCAGCAACCCATACTTGCCGTAAAAGGCGACTGAGCTTGTCATGGTTTATGCATATCATCGCGTGGATCGATGCTCATGATGTCTGCAACTTGATTGTCTGGTCCATGATATCAATCAGTGGATTGTCCGGTCCAGACTCGACTATACACAGACCGCCTTCACATAGATGGAATGTTGTTGAGTGCGGCGTTAAACAACAAACAGATAAAACAAATTCAATTAATAGCATGGGCAGAAACGAAAGAAGGGACAAATTTGTTTCGTCAGTTTTATTAAGTATTATAAATTGAAATAAGCCTTCGCACTCCTAAAACTCCTCAACAGACACGTACAGTTGACACAGACACGGAAAACGTTCAGCTTAATTCTTTCTGTCAAACGTTCCATTGGGTAGACTCAAGAGATTACCAACAAAACGCGTCTATTCGGTGGGGTAGGCAAGTTCAAGGGTAGAGGCAAAGCAAAATAGGATATGTTCAGGTTAAACGGCACGGCAAAACATGACAATTCAAGGGTAGATATATGCAATATATGACATGTTTAGGGGTGGGGTAACGGCAAAATATCACAGGTTCATGGGGAAAGACAGAAACGTTCAAGGGAAAAAGCAAGGCAGGGTATGACATGTTCAAGTGTGAGATAAGGCTTAACATAAAATGTTCAGGGGAAGAGGCAAGGTGGTGATGATATATATAGTGATGAGGCAGGACAAAACATGAAATGTTCAGGGGAAGAGGCAAGGTGGTGTATGATATATTTAGGGGTGAGGCAGAACAAAACATGAAATGTTCAGGAGAAGATGCAAGGTGGTGTATATCATATTTAGGGGTGAGGCAGGACAAAACATGAAATGTTCAGGGGAAGATGCAAGGTGGTGTATATCATGTTTAGGGGTGAGGCAGGACAAAACATGAAATGTTCAGGGGAAGATGCAAGGTGGTGTATATCATGTTTAGGGGTGAGGCAGAAGAAAACATGAAATGTTCAGGAGAAGAGGCAAGGTGGTGTATATCATGTTTAGGGGTGAGGCAGAACAAAACATGAAATGTTCAGGAGAAGATGCAAGGTGGTGTATATCATGTTTAGGGGTGAGGAAGAACAAAACATGAAATGTTCAGGAGAAGATGCAAGGTGGTGTATATCATGTTTAGGGGTGAGGCAGGACAAAACATGAAATGTTCAGGAGAAGAGGCAAGGTGGTGTATATCATGTTTAAGGGTGAGGCAGAAGAAAACATGAAATGTTCAGGGGAAGAGGCAAGGTGGTGTATATCATGTTTAGGGGTGAGGCAGAACAAAACATGAAATGTTCAGGGGAAGATGCAAGGTGGTGTATATCATGTTTAGGGGTGAGGCAGAACAAAACATGAAATGTTCAGGGGAAGAGGCAAGGTGGTGTATATCATGTTTAGGGGTGAGGCAGAACAAAACATGAAATGTTCAGGGGAAGAGGCAAGGTGGTGTATATCATGTTTAGGGGTGAGGCAGAACAAAACATGAAATGTTCAGGGGAAGATGCAAGGTGGTGTATATCATGTTTAGGGGTGAGGCAGGACAAAACATGAAATGTTCAGGGGAAGATGCAAGGTGGTGTATATCATGTTTAGGGGTGAGGCAGAAGAAAACATGAAATGTTCAGGAGAAGAGGCAAGGTGGTGTATATCATGTTTAGGGGTGAGGCAGGACAAAACATGAAATGTTCAGGAGAAGAGGCAAGGTGGTGTATATCATATTTAGGGGTGAGGCAGAACAAAACATGAAATGTTCAGGGGAAGATGCAAGGTGGTGTATATCATGTTTAGGGGTGAGGAAGAACAAAACATGAAATGTTCAGGAGAAGATGCAAGGTGGTGTATATCATGTTTAGGGGTGAGGCAGAACAAAACATGAAATGTTCAGGGGAAGAGGCAAGGTGGTGTATATCATGTTTAGGGGTGAGGCAGAACAAAACATGAAATGTTCAGGGGAAGAGACAAGGTGGTGTATGATATATTTAGGGGTGAGGCAGGACAAAACATGAAATATTCAGAAGAGAAGGTAAGGTGGTGTATGGTTAAACGGCGCTGCAAAACATGACAAATCAAGGGTAGAGTCAAGGGAATATATGACATGTTTAGGGGTGGAGTTACGGCAAAATGTCACAGGTACATGAGGAAAGACAAGGCAAAACAGATATGTTCAAGGGCAGAAGCAAGACAGGGGTTGACATGTTACAGTGTGAAATAAAGCAAAACATGAAATGTTCAGAGGAAAAGGCAAGTAGGTGTTTAGGGACTCGGACTGTAATGACACATTTTGTCAATACCATGTTGGGCTAGACAAATGTACACCTCAAGATATCTTTGGTAAAAGAGCCTTATCTGGAAGGTAGACTACCTGAATGTTTAACAAATTGTCATCTTCCACGTGATTGTATACGAATTTTACATACCGTATCATCCACCATTTGGTTGTATAACTGTTTTATTTCCATAGCAGATACCGCTTCATCCACCAAGTGGTTGTATACAAGTTTTATCCCTGTTCTTGAAGTATCCTATATTCTACCAAGGGGTTGTATAAGCGTTTTATTCCCATAGTAGATGTATCTAAATATCTCACCAGCCACACAGTCCCAGGTTCTGATCGACCATGCATTCAGTTTCTTTGAAATTAACTGGGTTCGAATCCAAGTATGGATAGCATAGTTTGAAACTTGCCAATCAAACGACTCTTTTCCGTAAAGAAGTCCAAAACTTTCTCCCGGATTTGGGTGATTCAAGGACCGGAGTTCTGTGTTTATGAGGTTTGGGTACTTCTGGGCCAGTATTGCGGGTAGCAGAATGATAGCCCCAGACACTGTCATCTAGTGTTTTGTACTCCTCGTACCAGATCTTAAGGAAATCTGCCCACGGCCTCGCTACAATTATGCCGTTACAGAGGCCGTCCGGTGTCTCGTACCCCATCGTCACTTCGTACCTGCATTAGAGGGAAACAGTTTGAACAGTATTTATTTTCAAATGTTACACTGGATTTTAAAAACGTCCCTTATTGAATATTGTTTCTGCCAAAACAGCACTCACGCTAACAACAACGATGGGATGATAACGACAATTTATGACACAAGTATGTAGAGGAGATTACGACTATTAATGACACACTGATGTGGAGTAGGGTACAATTACAGTAAAGTACGTTTATAACGAACACGCTTATAACGAACTGACGGATAAAACGAACTGATTTTTTGGTCCCGACTATTTGCTATAGTTATGATGTATATATGCTTGTAACGAACTACGGTTATAACAAACTAAAGTTAGTGGTCCCTTCGAGTTCGTTATAACCGTAGTTTACTGTGTATCTGACTTACTGATGCAGCTGTGAGAACGACTGCATCTGTTGGTTTGGTTGGTTTGTTGTTTTACGCCGCACTCAGCAATATTCAAGCTCTGTAAATAATCGAACTGAACTAGACAATCCGGTGATTGATATCATGAGCATCGATCCACGCAATTAGGATCGATTACATGCTCCAACCAAGTCAGCGAGCCTGACCACCCGATCCCGTTAGTCGCCTCTTACGACAAGCATAGTCGCCTTTTACTGCAAGCATGGTTTGTAGACATTGTAGATGTGTGAAGAGCTATATCTGACATACTGATGAGAAGGTGAGGATGACTTACTGATATAGGGCTGAGAAAGGCTGAACAACAAGGGCGTCAAGATCCATGTAGATGCCACCAAACTCCATCACCGCCTCGATCCTGATGACATCTGACTGGTGCTCTGGGACGTGTACTTCCTGTCCTAGGATGGTGGTGGGAGGGGCTCTGTACACCAACACTATCTCCGGGAAGCCATCCGTAGCTTGGTCCCAGTAAACCCCCTCCGGTAACAGATCAAACCAGAAGAGTATGACCTTGGGCTTCAGAAATTTATGGATGGCTAGCAAGGACACAAAATGGTGGAATAAAAATGTGTTCCTCTTTGGACCTCCGTACCACGTGATGTGTACTATGTTTGGCACGACGGAATGATCATGCAATGTTGTTCTATTATATTCCACTGGCACACTAAGATTTGAGAAGAACGTTTGTTGTCGGTTGTAACGAAAGTACTCTGTCTCATCCTTTGTCATGGCACGGCAAATTCCAGGGTAGATACAATCAGTAACATCGAACTCCCTTGTTCTCAGCATACCCAATTTGACCCCTGTTTCCATCGTGTTGGCGATGATTAGGAGGACCACAAGAGTCAGAAGGCTCAAATACGTCATTTTTAACTTCTTCTTGGATCGAAATACACTGACGGACAGCAACAGGACATCAGAGTAGCCCATCTGAAAATACATGTAGGTGGTTCTGCGAGAAGAGTACACAACATATTGTACACCACAACTTTGAGATATGTCCTAAAACACCCGAAACATACAAACAGTGCGCGATAATGGGCGCTATAAGGTAAAATGCACGAAACGGAACAAAAGCAGACCTACAGGCAAGGATGTAGGTTCTGCGAGAAGAGTACACAACATATTGTACACCACAACTTTGAGATATGTCATAAAACACCCGAAACATTCGAACAGTGCGCGATAATCCCATCACTTAGGTCAAATGCACGAAACTGTACAGAAGCAGAACTACAGGCAAGGATGTAACGAGTAAGTTGGGTTTAAAGCGGCTTTTAACAGTATTCCAGTTATATCACGGCGTGTCAGCGTAATGTGGGAGGAAAGCCCGAAGTGATGCAGTTCTTAGACGTTTACCACTTCGGTGAAACCCACGAGCACGGGTATGGTGCTGACAAACCTAGAAACATAATCGGGGCGAACCGGGATTCGAACCCACAATCATAGGTTTCTGGCGTGCCGAAGGGACGCAACTCTGCACAGCGAATTGAGGCGCCTTAGACGACTGGGCCACCCATGCCCCCCCCCCCCCCCCCCCCCCCCCCCCCCCAGTCGGCAAGGTGGCCTGGCTTTGGTTATTGGTGGCCCTTTGCCAGTGTTTTAAACTGTATGATTGATATTGTTATGCCCAAATGTGTTTGATGAAATTTGGTTTAAAATATAACTTTGCATACATGACTCACTTGTGAGTATATAAACTTGGCATCGTCGCTATATGGCTGAAATAATACCGATGCGATGTTAGATTTTAACTCACTCACTCACTGATTACAAGCATCCCCAAAATGACATTCACCGAGTCCTGTTCGTCAGGGAGATGAGGAAGAGGGCCCCCGAAGCATGGAAAACTTTAAGGGACATTCTCGCGATGTCGAATTCTTGCGATCCTTACCTTTGGAAAAGAGCTGAATATGCCAAACGTGCGAGAATGCAAGATCGCGAGAATGTTCCTTAGAGTATTCCAAGAGAAGACGCTATGAACGCCCAATGCAACCAGGGGGTAGCAGCCCTTGAATCAGCAGAAGTGCATATCCTCTCATCATTCCCCTCGAGGGGGCATGGGGGACCCAGTCGTCTAAGGCGCCGCGATTCGCTGTGCAGAGTTGCGTCCCTTTGGCACGCCAGAAACCTATGATTGTGGGTTCGAATCCCGGTTCACCCCGATTATGTTTCAAGGTTTGTCAGCACCATACCCGTGCCATATTTGGTCGTATTTACTATTTATATATAATATGTGTAATTATTCATCTGTATCATTAGCAATGTTTTGACGTTGCCGAATGAAAGTGATTCCAGTATTTTTAAGCAAATATTTAAAAACCTTGAGGTTTTCATAAATAAATTTCTGCGAAGGTTCATTAAGACATTATCATTTGAGTTTCTACATACGGTCTTTTTAGTAGCGACAGAGACTTTGAAAAAGGACGTTTTATGCATTCTTTTTTTTCCCTCATTTTATGCACAGAAAAAAACTACATTGTTATTCCCTATGAGGCTGCTAAAATTACACCATAACCCCATATGTTTCATAAAAGAGGGACCACCGGATGTATTATGGATATAATTAATAAAACAAGACAGTCACTGCCCCTTACAAACTTAAGCACATGCGACAAGCATGACGAACTGAGAATTAGGTACACTCAAGTTTTTTTTATCAATGTATAGTCATTATGATACCTATCGGTTTAAAATCAAAATAAAATAACACAAGGCGCCTGTTATAAAAGCGCGCTCAAAACATAAATACTTGCCTCGTATTGTTAAAATAATACAGCATGATGATTAACGTAATACATTAATCTAATTTACAAATTGTTAGAAATCGAAACCCTGTGTGACAAGACATATTCTCGTGATCACCAAGAGTTATCTCAGTATTTCAGTGAATTACACTGAAAACTTATATTTGATCTTGCATTGGCACGCATATGTTAACGTGTTTTGATGCTCGCAGAATTTATGTCATAATTAAATCTAAACAAACCCTAATCTTTTTTAACCGAGGTGGAACTTGTCATGGAAATGAGCGGGGGTTGCCGAAGTGGTAAACGTCTAAGACCTGCATCACTTCGGGCTTTCCTCCCATATTAAGCTGACACGCCGTGATATGACTGGAATACTGTTAAAAGCGGCGTTAAGCCCAACTCATGATCACTCACTCACTCCACGTCACTGTCAGGCAGGCCTAGCTCTGAGGTTCAGAAGACAAGACTGTAACAGTAAACTGTTCACAGATGACTTGTCCAAAATAAGGTTTTAGCGACGCTTGCATTACTCAACGTCGTCAGTTTCGAGGAAGAGTTGAAATGTTATGGGGTGGCATTACAACTTGTTGGCGAACACAACTCATCATTGTTAATGGCAATTTGAATAACGTACGCAACCGGGATGAGGTGATGGGAAATTGGGTTTAACGTCGCGTCCAAGATTATTGCACTTAAATAGCGACGTGCATGCCCGTGTGTGTGTGTGTGTGTGTGTGTGTGTGTGTGTGTGTGTGTGTGTGTGTGTGTGTGTGTGTGTGTGTGTGTGTGTGTGTGTGTGTGGCTGCTTGTACTAGTCCGGACTGATGCCGATTTATAGTGCTAGCACACTGGGATACCATGCCGCAGTTTAACATGAATACCCCACTCAGACACAGTATACTGACTCCGAGCCGACCAGTCCTGTTTTTAGCCCCTTAATGCCGAGCGACAGACAGGGTAACAACAAGTACCATCTTTTAACGTCTTTTGGTATGACGGTCTCCGGGCGGACACTCTACTAGTAGACCACGGAGGCGGTCGCAACCGGGATGACATCGTTAAAGATCAAGTTCTACCCTTGGTGCATATGCAGGGCCGTAACGCCACGGTGGATAATGCCCCTCCACATCTTGCATGTTTTTAGGCACCATAGTAACATTGCTGTACTGCCACCACAGGCTCTTTTTCCAGACCTATCACCTATAGAACATATCGTGGATGAAATGAAATGACGAGGGCAGGACCAGAACAAGCCGGTAACGGGACATAAGTTGAGCCAATCTTTGGTTGACATTTGCAACAATATCCTCAAGGCTGTTTTCAATCTTCTGGTGTCTTCAATGCGCCGCCGCTGTCCAGAATGTACCCTTGTTAACTGATTTGTTACACCAACTCTCTTTTTGGGCGTGTCACTTTGCCAAATGATACCAGGCATGGGCTTTGTCAATGAAGGAGACCCGTGAAGATTCCGGGATAGAATAGGTTTTCAGCAACCCATGCTTGCCGTAAAAGGCGACTATGCTTGTCGTAAGAGGCGACTAACGGGATCGGGTGGTAAGGCTTGCTGATTTGGTTGACGCATTTCATCGAATCCCAATGGCGTAGATCGATGCTCATGATGTCAACCACTGGATTCCCGATGGTTAATTCTGACTCGAGTGAAAAGCTCGACGCCATGTTGGTTTATAATCAGTGAAAGTAGTCCCTACTTGACCTTTCATATTTGCATATCTAATTGCATATGACCCAGCGGATATGTTTTTTTATCCGTTAGCTTTATCCTGCCGAGAAACCCACCTATTATATGATAAACATCTATATACGTTAACAATGTAATAATAACTTGATTCTTTATGGATATCGAAACCTTATTATGGTACCTAACGCAACAGCATAAATATTCCTGGAGGGGCCATTACAAAATACCTTTCTAAATTTCAAAATTGCTTTGCTTAAATATATATTTAATTTAAATCAAGCTTTGACGTACGGAATAGGAAATGTACACATAGGACACAAATGTCCACTGCCATGCACAGAGGAACGCGTCATCCTGTCCTCAAGTTCTTGATTCACGCATACATTATGAAGTCCCTGGCTAGTCGCTAAATTGACTGGGCTCCGGTCTATCTGATCGTGTAGACAGGCGGCTGCCAATTTCACGTAGGTTGCGATTAGGCGATATTCAACACGTGATGCACTGGTCCTGGGTATCGAAGTGGTGGACTATGAACTTTGTCAACATCAGTTATCAAGAACGCCACCAATTCGCACTTTAAACCGTATGTGGTAGTCACACATGTTTTGGTTGACACTTGTTGATTAATCCATGAGCGCGTTGCAAGCCACGAATAGCTTAGAGTAAACAAATTAATCATTCCGGGGTCAGCAACAGGTCGAAGCGCTTGCGCCCTCTTTCAAAATGGCGGCGCAACTACCGCTTCCCCTAATGAAGAACGTAATAGAAGAGGCTCAATATGACGAACTGATGACATTTATGACTACTTTGAAGCAGACTGAGGATGATGGGTCTTAGCTGCCTTTGGTCATTTCCCAGTTGATCCAGTCAAGAATTTCCTGTTCCGCTGTTGAACTCAGCCAACACGTAGCAACCCCAGTCAGCAATTGGTATGATTGCAAGTGGCTGAAAGTTAGCACCCCCTTGTACGGCGAATCGCTGTACATCGCTTGCAAGCGATTGGCGCTTTCCAACGCACACCATGTGTTTGTTATGTTGGTCATTCGGTGGTCATAATTATAGATCAGAAGCCTGCAATATCACCCTGTAAGCGAATTCACTGTATTACGACACACTACCATCATATCTCGTCACCCTTTCATAACTGCCTCCGTGGTCTAGTGGTAGAGCATCCGCCCGGAGAGCGGAAGGTCCGGGGTTCGATCCCCGGCTGCGTCATACCAAAAGACGTTAAAAGATGGTACTTGTTGTTACCCTGTCTGTCGCTCGACATTAAGGGGCTAAAACAGTTACAAAGCAAATTGATTGTTATACATTTTGCAAAGCCAATTATCAGTCATACAAGATTGATTAAATCCATCACAAATTCGAAAAAAGGCATACATACTTGTTGGACAGGTATTAATCATGCAGATGACTGTCTCGGAGATATATTGTAGATGTACCACCAAATCTCTGTCTCAAAGATTAACCACGATACTCAATACAACCGCCCACCCACATATATTTGGTCATTCTATGAAGTCTCACATTCTCCCGCACAGGTTCAGCTGATGGACAGAGATTGGCAAACCCAAGAGCATCCAATAATGCTACGACTGTTATATATAGCAGAACAGGGTATTCGCAACAGAGTGAAGGTAAAATCGTTACGTTCGGCGCGTATATAATACATGTTGGCACTATTGGGACCAGTACATGAATAATTAACCTTTTAGTAGACATATGTGTGGCAACCGTTGTAACCCCTCTGCCACGTGATCTTGGAAACAAGTTACTGTTTGTCTTACTTTCTTAAGTGAGTAAAATATAAAACCTATATTCACTAAACGGTATCAGTACTCAAAGCATAACGTTCTTTTTCAAGAAACTTAAAGAAGTACATTCAGGAATGGGGTTAGCATTACTAACTGATGAAAGGGTTTTCTGTGCAGATGATGAACGCAGCCAGACAGTTGAAGACTCTGAGCTCCATGTTGCATGCAGAGATGGGAGGGTGGCCTTCGTGAAGCACATGTTGGATCAGGCTCAAGTTGACATTAACGTAAGAGGCAAATCCGGCCGGACACCAGTGATGACGGCAGCAGCATTCGGACAAAAAGAAGTCTTCGATCTTCTTGTGAGAAGAGGAGGGGACTTGTTAGTAGTAGATGATAATGAGTACAATATTCTTCACGTGGCTTGTATGGGAGGTGATGTGGAAATGGTGAAGTACATCCTCTTACAAGACACTGTGGACGTCAATAGAAGAGGTCATTATGGCAGGACAGCAATGATGATGGCAGCTGAATTTGGTCACGGAGAATTGTTGGACTTCTTTATGGATAAAGGTGACATATCACTCGTTGATAATGATTGTAACAACATCCTCCATGTGGCCTGTCTGGGAGGTAATGTAGATGTTGTGCAGAATATACTATCACGAGACATTGTGGACATCAACAGTAGAGGGAAATATGACCGAACGCCAACGATGATGGCTGTAGGCGGCGGGTTTAGGGATGTATTTGATTTACTTGTTGCTAAAGGAGCAGATGTGTCATTGATGGATAATGATGGCAACACAGTTCTTCATGTACCCTTTATAGGAGGACATGCAGAGATGGTGAAGTACGTCCTCTCACAGGTCAGTGTTGAAATAAATGGAAGGGGGCAGTATGGAAGGACACCATTGATGATGTCAGCTGTTAAAGGAAATTGGAAAGCGTTTGAGGTACTAGTGAACAAAGGATGTGACTTGTCACCAGTGGACAATGGCGGATACAACATTCTTCACGTAGCGTGTCTTGGGGGCAGTTTTGAGGTAGTGAAATACCTCGTATCAAGAAAGATAATTGACATTAATAGTAGAGGTCAGTATGGGCGGACGCCCGTGATGATAGCAGCAGAGACGGGTCATAGAGAGGTACTTGATCTGCTTATGAAAGAAGGGGGTGATTTGACGCAACTGGATGATGATGGTGAGAACATTTTGCACGTGGCCTGCATGCGAGACCATGTCGAGATGGTGAAATATGTCATTTCCCTACATATTGTTGATATCAATAGTAGGGGAAGTTTCGGGAGAACACCATTGATGACCGCAGCATCTGGTGGACATCGCGACGCTTTTGAAAAGCTGGTAGAAAATGGTGCTGATATGTCTCTGAAGGATGAGGATGGAGAAGACATCCTCCATATTGCTTGTCTTGGGGATAATGTTGATATGGTGAAGCACATCCTTCTACAGACCAGTGTAGACGTCAACAGTAAAGGACAGTATGGGAGAACCCCGATAATGACCGCGGCTGCAAAGGGTCATGGAAAGGCATTTGACTTGCTCAGATGGAATGGAGCTGATGTGTCACTAGCAGATGACCATGGCAACAACATCCTTCATTTGGCATGCGTTGGTAACAGGGAAAAGATGTTAAAGTATATCATCTCACTGAACATTATTGACATCAATGCCAGAAACAAATATGGATTAACAGCTGCAATGATAGCAATAGAAAAAAATAACCTTACTTTGTATGATCATCTTGCCATGCAGTCGGGATTGTAACTTGTTGTTGCGTGACTATTAGAGTGAGTGAGTGAGTTTGGTTTTACGCCGCTTTTAGCAATATTCCAGCAATATCACGGCGGGGGACACCAGAAATGGGCTTCACACATTGTACCCATGTCGGGAATCGAACCCGGGTCTTCGGCGTGACGAGCGAACGCTTTAACCACTAGGCTACCCGACCGCCCCCGTGACTATTAGAAAGGATGTTTATTGACGTATGGCCATATCCGCAACCACAATCCACCAAAGGCGCAGCAAGCATTAAGAAGATATAATTAAATTTTCGTTGTGTTCATTGATATTCCTGCATTCGGATTAGCTGAATTGGTCACGTGTTTTTGCATTCATTTCCCAGTGAATGTAAAAAATTAAGACACGCCCACCGAGGCGGACTACTTTCGTTACTACGGAATGTCGGGGAATCCCAAAATTACATTCGAGGAAATTCCCTTTCTGCTCACGTGTATCGTCATGCACAGGACATTTAGCGAAATTCATGCATATTCATTGTACAAACAACCCTTTGAGACCGAAGGCCGTGAAGAAACAGCAAACGTGCAGGCTCGCTCGCCTCGGTTCCACAACTTTCATGTCTTCGGGTTTCATTTCTAATTAGAGATCTAGCATTTTTCCATCTGTGTCTTCCCGTTCTCAGGGAACTAATGTTTGAATCTGGCGGTAACTGACCATGTCATTTGAAACAGCCGCCTTCTCCCGGTTCGTAACAGTCTTGCACTTCTTCTCGCCTCTTGCCTTGATTTGCAGGTCTAATGAACATTGTTTTGTTCCTTCTCTCCGTTGATTGGCTACTGAGTTTGTAGACGTGTCAAGTTATGTGCATAAATTAAACAATCACCTGATTCATGTCACGCCACATTATGTATTCCTACACCTGGAATGTTTATCAATGTCGTCGTTTTTGTCGGCTTTGATATATACACCTGTTTTGGGTTAAACTATTGTCGATAAAACATGTTTTCGTTGTCGCATTTAATTATAAGCATTGACTGTGTATTTTTGTCGGTTCATTGAGGTATGAATCGACAAACCGATGTGCAAACTTTTGTAAGAATTTTGTAAGATTCATACAGTTTGTATGGCTATTTATCGCGTAGCTATCTTACAATTAAGGATTGACTGTGTAATTGTTTCGGTTCATTGAGGTATCAATCACAGTCAATCCTTAATTATAAATCCTTAATTATAGCTACGCGATAAATAGACAAGCACAATGAAGAACGTAGCGTATTTCATTTCACGATAAGAGATTGTTCTATCATGCGCTCGCAACTTGATGACGTAAATTGGACGACATTTTTTTTGAGAGGGATAAGATGTTTCCCATAGATGTAGCTGGGCAACTCAGATAAACGCTATGGCCGAACGATCGCATCCAAAAGCTGCGCCCCTCGTGGTTTATTCTCCCTGCAGTGTTGTATGGTAAGATAAACAACTCCCGGTTTTCGTTTATTTCTTAAATATAGAATACTAAACGAGCGCCCGTGTTATGACCAATGTAAGAAACGCAATGAATAGTTCTGATATCTCTCTCTCTCCATGAGACCGCCTTCGAGGTCAAGTCGTAGAGAGTCCGCCCGGAAGGTCCGGGGTTCGATACCCGGCTGCGTCATACCAAAAGACGTTAAAAGATGGTACTTGTTGTTACCCTGTCTGGCGCTTGGCATTAAGGGGCTAAAACAAGGATTGGTCGGCTCGGAGTCAGTATACTGTGTCTGAGTGGGATAATATGTTTAACTGCGGCATGTTATCTCAGTGGGCTTGCACTATAAATAGGCATCAGTCCGGACTAGTATAAGCAGCCACACACACACACACACACACACACACACACACACAAACACACACACGTCGCCATATAAGTATAATAATCTTGGACGCGACGTTAAACCCTATTTCACCTCACCTCAACTACTTGGAATCAAATCTATTCCAAGATCAACACCGGAGTAACTTTAATAACGTTTTCACGTAAATATTGAATAATGACGTCATGTGTAGACAGAAAAAATTGCATTTTGATACACTGACAGTTGGAGCGAGGGTGTGTATGTCATTTGACGTACCTTCAGCTTGTCATATAAGGGGATCGCTTGTTATGACAAGGGTGACTGGTTTTCCTTGTCAAGATCATATACAGCTACTGATTACATAGCTTGATTATTGCTGACTGCTGGCATTCAGCATATAACATATATCACTCACTTCATCTATTCCTATCCACACCAAACACCCGGAACCGATCAGTTCCATGTTTGAAATAACAATGTTTTAACCACTGACACCTACTTCAAGATGCATACATGGACCAAATAGGTTTCTTATAGATCTTATAGATTTGGGTTTTTTTACATAATGTGTGATTTCAGGACTAATTTCTTTATTTTATTATGTTATGCTTACTCTGTGTGTATTCCGTACCATTAGGACAGCTTGAAAAATGCCATAAGAGTGAGTGAGTGAGTCTGGTTTAACGCCGCTTTTAACAGTATTCCAGTCATATCACGGCGTGTCAGCTTAATGTGGGAGGAAAGCCCGAAGTGATGCAGGTCTTAGACGTTTACCACTTCGGTGAGACCCACGAGCACGGGTATGGTGCTGACAAACCTAGAAACATAATTGGGGCGAACCGGGATTCGAACCCACAATCATAGGTTTCTGGCGTGCCTAAGGGACGCAACTCTGCACAGCGAATCGCGGCGCCTTAGACGACTGGGCCACCCGTGCCCCCTAAATGCCATAAGAAGATTTTCGAGTTTATAAAGCTTGTGAAGAAACCAAGGACATCAGGACCGCCCCCTTCTCACTTCGTGTGTCGAAGATAATATCCAATTTATCATTTAACTAAGGATTTATTCATGACATTAGCTTATGGCATAAAATCATGTAAGTCATACCCCAATGATATAAGTTTGCAAATTAGATAACCGGAAGTGGGACTTTCTTCGCCGGTGCACGTGAGTAGGTGTTTACAAACAACATGGATGCCTTTGATGTTGGACATAATGTTTTAATAGATCAAAGGGGAAGTTCTACAGTGATATCCGTGTTGACAGCGGGATATTACAGGTTACAGGTTGATGGTACTGAATTTAATTTTGATTGTGATGAAGGCAGATTATCAAAAATTCCCAGTGACAACCGTTTCATCATCGAAACAACATCGTCGAGCACGGCGAAGCAGACGACGATCACGGAGCCTCAAATGCCCAAGGTAGATTTGTGGGTGTTGAGGACGGCATGGTCGATGGTGTGATCCTAGACAATCAAAACAAATACACAGTCAAGAAAACGTTTCAACTGTTCGATAACTGTTTTAAAGTCCAAAATTCATATTAATCCTGACCAGCACAAGCAAATAACCAACATTATTTCACGAAACACTTTATCCACACTGTGACATCCCAGCTTGTTGATGAAACTCCCGTCATGCAGAGCGGCCCTTTTCGTAATGTCCAAATCGCCAGTAGACAACACAGTCAGCAGTTTTAAATTATAAATGTTTCTGATGGTGTCAACACTATGTTTGCTGGCAACATTACTGGTGGAAACATAACGATTAATCTCGTTAAACCTCCAAGCCCGGTTCCAGTTAATAGACGCCGGATTATCATTGAAACTGAGAGCGACACCGACAAAAGCATACTCTGACCTCTCCTCCGCGAGACATTCTTCAAGTGAGAGAGCGGTTTGATTCAAAAGCTATATATAAGTGAAATCACACCACAGACATAAACAAATTGCGGTTATTAAAGTTTCAGTTATTCTGCAAAAGTCTGTTCAAGTATTTTGTTTAAAATAACCAGAGGAACGTTTTTTTCTCAGCGAAGGAATATGACATGAAGGAGTTAAGAGGTTGTATTTTGGTTCAGAGAAACTTCATACGGCAATGGAAAGCATGTATCACTAAACACGAGCTATACATAAGATTTCGACAAGTTTCTGATGTTAATGTTAATGCATTATTCCTTAAAAGGGAAATAAAAATGCGAAAATGAGACCTAGAATTCATCACAAGTGTTTTTTTTAAATATGGGAAATGCCGACCTCGTCCTGTTAATCGGTATTTGCCTCGACAAAGTCTTGGCAAATACTGATTAACTAAGACTCGGTTGATATTTCCCATATTAAAAAAACTGGTGATGAATCCTCCAATTACTTTACTTTCATTCACTATGGACTCTCTCTTTCTTCTTTACTTGTAAATAAAGACATTGAGTGTACTAATGTAAATAGTTGTGTGGCATCCGGGGTAGAACCCATGCTTGCTGTAAAATGTGTGAGGAGCATGACAATCATACATGCCCGGTTAAGATTGCTAAAAGGTATTTGATAGGTGTTCAGTTACGGGATAATACTATATCACTGTATTGGTAAGAAATTCGGCATTTCCCAGCGAAGTATATGGAATTTGTACTTTATCTATCAGGGGTGAATATGTGAAAAAAACGCCCATTCAGTAACCAATCAGAAACAAGTAACAAGCAGCTTAACGCACGGGAAGGTGAGCAAGACATATCACAACACCAACATGAACTTGTCCTATCACGCGCATGTTATTATTAATCATTATAGCTAAAATGGATAGAATTATCATAAAAACGCCCGCATGTTATCAGAAATGAGCGGGCCACTGTTACTTGATAATGCCCTCATATTACTTGACGACGGGCCATTATTACGCCCGTTGTTAGGTGACGTCATAGGATAGGGATAGGTGACGTAACGTTCAATAGTGACGTCATCTGGTTTGTTCTATGACGTTTCCATATTTGTAAACGTGGGTCAGTGACATTCGTGTTGATTGCAGTAAATGTTTCAAAATCGACATTGTTGTTTCTTTTTATTGGATAACAAATTCCATCCATTTTAGCTATAATAACGGTAACGCTATTTTTCAGGGCATTATCATATGCAGAAGACCTCGGGCTTCTGCAAATGATAATGCCCTGAAAAATAGCGTTACCCTTATATTATGCGTCAAAGTGAGATTGACCAATCAGAGAGCAGCACTTCTAACCCCACATAAGCCGGTATCGAAGATGGTTGTTACTGACCTAATATTATTAGCTATCGTGACTTTAGTTGCTGTATACAGT